GCAACTCACTAGGCTAATCCTCCGCCTGCGGCGCCAGCACCCTGGGTACTAGTCCTGGTTGGGGCGCCAGTTCTGTCCCTCTTCCAGTCCAGCTCTCTGCTGTGGCCTGGGAAGGCAGTGGAGGATGGCCCAAGTGCTTGGGCCCTGCACCCACATGGGAGACGGGGAGGAAGCACCTGGCTCCTGGCTTTGGATCGGCGGAGCGTGCTTGCTGTGGCAGCCATTTGGGGGGTGAACCAACGGAGGGAAGACCTTCCTCTCTGTCTCTCTTGCTGTCTAGCTCTATCTGTCAAAAAAAAGATCGCCCAGTCTTGGACCACGACCCTCCTAAGTCGCGCCTCTCCCGCATTGGTTGCAGTGATGGGAGCTAATCCAGGAAGGAAAACCCCACGCCGTGCTCTTTAAAAGTCTTCCTGTCGGGGCCCGGGTTTTAATTTCTCATTAACGAGATGCTCTCTTTATTTCTTGATCGAGGCGGTGTCTGCCAGCATTTTCTGCTGTCAGACTGTTTTTGCCCTTTTAGTGAATAAGTGTTTTGTGAGAACACGCTTTGGAACTTTGTCAATACTCCGTTTCCCATCCAACATTCAATTTGCTCATTTATGGATTTGCATCTATATGGAATCTAGAAAATTCCTATTTTATTCAATGGGTCAAAATCTGGCATTGTTTACCTTCGATGTTCAAACTGTCCAGAGTCAGACATCCCATTGCCACTCCCTGCCCTCACGCTCGCTCGCTCGCTCGCTCTCTCTCTCTCTCCTTCCTGAGCAATTCTTCTCATTCTGACATGAGATGCTCTAAGTTATCTTGTATCCCCAATCATGGAGTCAGACATTTCTTGAAGAAGCCTGGATTTGTTTTACTTAGAAGCCAGAGAGTTCGTAGAATTCAGTGCCTCCCAACATTGAAGACACAGTAATTCATCAGTAGCAAGGGCTGCAGCCCAGGTGCCAACAGGTGAATGTGGATACAGGAGATGGGGAAGTAACGATCGGTGGGAATGGATTGCAGGGCTCACGGCTGGTGGGCGACTGCGCGACAGACCCTGGAGTCCTCAGTGTCGCGGGCAAAGGTGGTCGGCCGGAGATCGAGAGAGCAGTGCAGACTTCCGGGAGGCCCTTCCCAGGCAGGGCAGCACCCAGGCCACTGTGTCGCAGGTCAGTGCCCTGAGGACAGCAAACCCAAGAGCAACAAACGGAGCAGGATGGGGTGCACGTGGACCCTGTGTGGCTACGCGGTCACAGCAATGACCCCCAAAGGCTTAGCCGAGAAAGCAAACCCTGCTCAGAATGTAAACAGAGGGGAACCTGAGCACGCAAAGCAGCCTCCTGCACACCCACCAGCCCTGGAGGCTGCCCGCCAGCCCCCGTGCAGTGCAGGTGGAGGGGACACCCTGTCAGCTGCAGCCCCAGACATGCAGATGCCACTGTGGACGCCCCAGCCGTTGGTGACAAGGAGGGAAGACGGCATTACCATTTGACCCACGGGAAATCCGTGACCGCTGAGGCCGGGTGTCTTGTCTGGGGTCTCAGATTCTGGATTTGCTTCCTGGGATCTGAGCTCTAAAGCTGCCTCTCTAGGGGAGATTTTCTGCAGACCACTGAGTGGAGATGGAGAGAGAAGGAAAGGGAGGGAGAGAGACATCTATTTTTTTTAAAGCTCTGTTCATGTATCTGAAAGGCAGAGTTACACAGAGGGAGGGAGGGACAGAGAGATCTTCGATCCACTGGTTCACTCCTCAAATGGCTGGAGCTGGGCTGATCTGAAGCCAGGAGCCTCTTCTGGATCCCCAAAGTGGCTGCAGGGGCCCAAGCAGTTGGCCCATCTTCCACTGCCTTCCCAGGTGCATTAGCGGGGAGCTGGATCAGCAGCAGAGCAGCCGGGACGTGAACTGGTGCCTGCATGGGAGGCAGTGACTATACCCACTACACCACAACACCAGGCCTGAGAGATTTATTCCAAGTTCCTGGACACTCCTGGCTTTGCAGGGCAGAGCGGCGGGAAGGTTGGGGACACAAAATTTCTTCTGCAGGAAACTTCAGTTCTTGTGTGTGAGCCCCTGACTGGACGAGGTCCACTTACACTGCCAAGTGCCACCTCCTTGACTTGAAGTGGGCTGGTCATTAGCCACATCACAGAATCAGCACACGCTACACCCATCAGTGCATCTCAACTGGGTCCACAGCCTCGCCACCTCGCCTGAGCTGCTGCCCAGGGCTCATGGGCACGCACAGGAATTGCCAACGTGAGACCTGCTGTGCGTCAGAACCCAGGGAGTCCACCCTCCCCCTCGGGCATGGGTCACTGTGTGTAGGTGTCACAGGAGTGGTAGCTCCTGTCTGTGGGTGGCACACAGGGCGCCTGGATCCAAGCTCATTACTGGCCCTACAGGTGCCCTTAGACTCCATCAACAAAACCACAGATGTTTCAATCATTCTGCAAAGGCAGACTGCCAAAAAAAAAAAAAAAAGTGATAAAAGTCTTCAAACAGACCTTAAAAAGCTAGTAAAAATTAAAAAGTAATTGGAAAGAGATAAAACTAAAAAGCAAAAGCTGAAATCCATTAAACCAACAAAGACTTCCATGAACACAAAACTTGAAGTGCAATACCATAAAAGAATCCAGAGAAGATGATGAAATCTGAGAATTAAAAAGATCAAATCTTCCCACAAAACAATAATCTTCAACTTGATTAAAAAATAATGTCTTCAAATACAGGAAGCAATCTTCAAGCACCAAGGGTGGCTTTCAAATGGAAGAGAAGGCTTTTTCATTGATAAAGTACAGCTTACATACTATCCCCTTTCAATAAAGAGTTGAGGAACGCACATTCTAAACTGAGTGACGAAAGATGGAATTTTAATAGAAAAGAGAGCATTCTGGGAAAGTCAGAGGAATAAAACCCAAACTTCAACTGTATGAGAGCTACATCTGGCTTTGAGCTTCCTGGCAACCAAAGCAACAACAGAACACGGAAACCCCCTCTTCCTGTTTGGAGGAACCACTCTAAGGCAATGCCATCCCTCAGGGCTAAAAACTGGCTCTTGGCGGGACAAAAATATTTTTTTTAATGTAAAAAGCATAAATACACGCACTGTACATATACAGCATAGCCATCCTCTTAGAATGGCATCACTGGGCATGGTTAAGGGGAAAGAACTCTAACAAGGATCCCCGAGAGGCAACTGTGGAAAAAAACCACTGAGAAACGCAATTCCTGAGTGAAAGGCATCAATCTCTGGATCTAGAGCAGCGAACCTTCCTCTAGAGGGAGGGGACCCTGAGGGCCCCGCAACACAGAGAGCGGGGCTCCCTGATGGCGGCTGCACAGTCCCACTGCAACCCCAGGCAGAGGTGCTGCGGAGTCTGCGTGAAGAGCTGGGGTGCGGGGGTGCATCAGCACACATTGATAATCTAGACCAGCACATTGATAATCTAGATCAGCACATTGATGATTTATATCAGCACATTGATAATCTAGATCAGCACATTGATGGTTTGTATCAGCACACTGATAATCTAGATCAGCACATTGATGATTTGTATCAGCACATTGATAATCTTGATCAGCACATTGATAATCTAGATCAGCACATTGATGATTTGCATCAGCACATTGATAATCTAGATCAGCACATTGATGGTTTGTATCAGCACATTGATAATTTATATCAGCACATTGATGGTTTGTATCAACATTTTGATCATTTGTATCAGCATATCGATAATTTGTATTCTGGAAATTCTGCAGCACGTTGGTCATCTCGTCTGGCATCACCCAGCTCTAGAGATGAGTGGGGTGGCACGGACGGGGTGGGGTTGTGGCATGGGAGGCTTATCCCAGGAGATCTGGAAAGACCTAGAACACTGTGCCACTCCACAATACAACTGCCATCCTCTTGGGGCTAGGAGCTGTCCTACGGTTTTCTGTGGCTGACTGTGCAAGGCGCGATGTGGACTGCCCCTAGAGTGGCCCACTGCCCTCTGCTGCACTCCTTCTGATGGGTTGCCAAGGTGACCCCAAGGATGCTGGACCATAACCCGTTTCTCACACACTCCATGGAGGGAGAGTCTTCGCCGCAGCAGACAGTAAGGATTCCCAAAGGAAGCACTGCATGTGCACAGGGGTCTATGGTTTCTTGGGGGTGGCCTGGGTCTTCACAAACACGGAGAACCAGGGACACAGATTCCCGGAGCCTCTTGCCAGGCCGGGCATTGAGGCAGAAAGGCGCATTCCTGCAGTGCCAAGCTGGACGGCATGGACATCTTGCCATATTCGGCAGAGGACCTCACTGCCTTCTCTGTCTCTTGCTCCCTCGGATCCAGGCTGGCAGCCCCCAGAGAAAGCTCTACAGTCTCCATGGCTCTCAAGTTCAATCACACAGCTCATTAAACAAAGCCCTCCCTCAAATGAGCCGCTGCAAAGGCAGGCGAGGAGGCGTGAGTGTGCGAGCCCAGAGCCCGCGGACCTGGGGACCGGAAGACAGCTGCCCAGAGGCTCAGCGCTGTTCCCGTCCGAGGGGGACACGCGGGCACATGGCACATGGATGCATTCCCTCTCGACTCCCAATCAGAGACCAGGAAACGCCAAGCTCTGAGCAACATGTGTGCATCCATGAGTATGTGTCGCAAAACCCTTTAGGAAAGCGGAATAGAGGGGCCAGAGCTATGGCACAGTGGGCTAAGCCTCCGCCTGTGGTTCTGTGGGTGCCGGTTCGAGTCCCGGCTTCTCCACTTAATCCAGCTCCCTGGGAAGGCAGAAGATAGCCCACGTGCTTGGACCCCTGCACCCACGTGGGAGACCAGGAAGAAGCTCCTGGCTCCCGATCAGCGCAGCTCCAGCCGTTCCAGCCATTTGGGGGGTGAGTGTCTCTCCCTCTCTCTGTAGCTCTGCTTCTCAAATAAATAAATAAAATATTCAAAAAAAGCGGATTAGAAATAGCAACATTTGTGTTTTACATCAAAGAATAAAAACATAATATGCCAGACGCTCTGAATCTTTTTAAATAACCCTTTATTTTCCATTGTCAATGATTAACATTTGAGACTACTAGAAGAATATCATGATTATAGCGAATAAAAAAATATAGATGATAGAATAAAAATATTAGGATGCACAAAGTTAGTTTTTTTAAAAAAATCATTGTCCACCAATACTTTCAGAACGTAGGAGCTCTGAAAAACCAATTTCATTGTGTGGGTTTTTTATTATTATCATTATTTATTTACTTATTTTTTTGGTTAGTCTGTTTGCTTTTGTTTTTTTTACATTTCCAGCAGTTAAAAGCTGAGAACACATATTGGGAATGATTTGCAGATGCCTTTTCTATCCGAGAGGACCACAACATGAGAACAAGTTCTAAGGACCACCATATACACACACTCTGTACAGGAAGGGACACAGAAGACCCCACGGGAATTGCCTCGTGCAGCGCTCAGACCCTCCTCTACCCACACGCACTTCCCCGTGTGCTCCGGGTCCCAGCGGTGTTCCCGCCCCACGAGTTAGTCACTGTTCAGGAGCAGAGACGTGACCTGTTGGAATGACATCAGAGGAAGGAGGAGCTTCCCTGGGAGCATGGCATGTGACTGGCTGATGTGGGTTAAAGACAGACTCGGCCAACAGAAAGTCACAAGGACAGGGACCGCAGGTGCCGCCAGGGCAAGCCGGGTCCGGGCCTGCAGAGAGAACTGAGGGTGCCTAGGCAGCATCACCACACAGGGAGTGACGCAGGGACGTCCCAACCTCACCACCCACGACTCACCGCAGTCGGGCTCTTTGCTAAGGCAACCCATCTGGCACGAAAACAAAGGACCCCAACCCAGCAGACATCCGGGACCCACACCCGCCTTGCTCCGCGATGCCCAGGGATGCAATGGCGCTCGAGGTCAGCACAGCCCAGCGAGGAGGAGCTCAGGCGGACGAGAGGCAGCCGCTGGCTCTTCTGAGACTGCTGCCCTCACTGCACAATCCCGGAGTCCACCGACGTCTGCTTGCGCGTGGTCTTGGGAGGGGGCGGGGGAGGGGTTTTGCTGGGCAGCGGGGGTGGCAGATGCTGGAAAACACGAGTGGGGGAGACATCATGTTAGCCACGTTCTAACAGGAAAGCGGCGGCCCCGGGGATGGCTGCGGGAGCTAACTGGCCCTGGGCGTGTCTGCGGAAGCTAACCAGCGTGCCCGGGGGTGTCTGCGGGAGCTAACTGGCCCTGGGCGTGTCTGCAGGAGCTAACCAGCGTGCCCCGGGGATGGCTGCGGGAGCTAACACCTGCCCCTCCATGTGACTCGGGCTGCCCCACTGCGTTGCTGAGTCCCTGAGGGGAGCGGCCACCACTCTGCACTCCACTGCTTAGACCCAAGTGCTCCTGATGGAGTATTCTGTGGCTGCCCAAGGGACAGGCATGTCCTTGGAGCTCTCCCCCGGGGTGAGCGGGGAGACTCTGTTGCTTTCTGAACTACAAGAAAAGGTCAGCAAAGTTTTCCTGCAAATCGCCCCAGAGTCCCCGCTGCCAGCCGTGTGGGCCCACGGTCTCCGTCGGAAAAGCAGCGGGGCAGGAGTGCGCCGGTAAAACTTCCTCCGCCACAACAGGGGGCTGCCGGGGCTTGGGTGTGAATGACCCAGGGCAGCTGCTGGTCTGCTCCGGGGACCCCCGTGCCCGTCAGGAGATGACTCGGAGGCATGGGTTGACCCAACGGGTAAATGTGCGGGTGAAGACATGAGCAGGTGAACCTATGAACAAATCCGGGCAAGGGGCAGGGGTCTCAGGCGGAGAGAACCGGAAGGAAGTCACAGAGCAGTCCCACAGTGGAAGGGTGACCGTGCACTGTCCATTCGGCCATCAGCAAAGATGACTTCCAGAGCAGAGAGGGGCCCATATTTCCTCCTGATTTTCACGCGAGTAAATACAAAGATGACCGCGTGCTGAGCCCCGAGAGGACAGCACAGGTGGAGAAACAGACGGGCAGGGCGGTGCAAGGGTGCACGCACGGGTAAGAGAGACGCCCGCCTCTGGTCTGATCACACCGCGTGTTCACACCTGAGAGCCACACTGGTAGGCGGGGGGTTCAGTCCAGGGCCAGACCCACATCCTCTGACACGCCAGATACGAGAGTGACAGTTATCACCATTAAGCAAAACGATAGCTCTCTGGTCGTGGGAGCCATCATGGAAGACTGACAGCTCAGACTGAGTTGCCGACACGCCTGGGTGGATCTAAGGGAGGCACAGGAGGATCCGCGACCCCCCGCCCCCACTGCAGATCCTAAAACGGCTTTCAGGGCCTGTGCCGGGAGGCAACTGCCGACTGTGACGTTCCGCAGCGCGTCACCTGGACGCACAAACAGCGGAGAGGCCTGGCTAGCTCACCTCACTGCATTCGCACCTCTTTATAAACCGGGCAAAGGGACTAAAGCGAGTGCACGTTCCCCGTCGCTTCAGGAGCTGCACACGGCTTCCATATCCCAGAACGCTGCGTCCAGGAAGCCGAGACCAGACAGTGGCAGCCCTGAGTTGATTCCAGACAAGAATGGTCCTAATCCCAAGTTTGGAATTCCCAGTTTACCAGTGTGGGAGACGTGGGGGACACTCCTGCTTTTTCCAACAAAATAAAGAGATGAAAATAAAGATACAACTGACCACCTAAGCCATCAGGAAAAGAACACCCAAACAACCCCAGATTCCCGCGAGAGATGCTGGGGATCTCCCTCTGTGCTCCAGAAACTCAGGCTGCCCCAGGCTCCAGCAGGGAGTGCCTCCGGTAGCATTAGTGATGAAAAGCAGAGTGGCCCAGGGAGTGCCAGCCCAGGACCCGGCTGAAGGGCCCTGAAACGCTGGCTGCTCCTGCCTAAAACCAGCACAGCTGGGGGACAGCAAGCCAGCACCGAACCCACAACAGGGAGGGCTGGGTGTGCCGCGAGGGGCAGCTGTGCCAGAGCCCACGGGGTAGATTCTCTGTGCTGCTGGAGTTGTCACCTCTCAGGAGCCACCCAGCCACCAGATGCTGCCTGGAGGGACAGTTGGCACACGAGCCTCTCCAGGGTGGGCAGCCAGGCGTGCCTCCCACCCAAGGCACAGGTGGCCCACGTGCTGCCGAGTCCCACGAGAACTGCGCCTCCGTGGGGAAGCCGGCTGCCTGAGGCCCCGCCCCTCCTCGGGAGCCACAGTAGTGGAAACCGCTGTGCCATGCAGGTCAGACGCTGGTGACGCCGAGGGATCGGATGGTGCTGACCGTGGTCCTCACTTAGCATCTTTCCTCACAATCGCATCCAGACCCCGAGGGACTCGTCCCTGTGTTTGCTGGGCCCTCCCTTGGTGACCCCATCCATGTCAGCTACCGGGATTCCTGTGTGGAGCGGGCAAGTGTGGAAAACCCACGTTCACAACTCACCCTCTGATGCGGAGGAGGGGGCGGAGGCGTCGCCGAGCCCACTGAATCCTGGTTTTCCATCAGGTTCCCGTAATCTGCCATGCTGCCTTTGAGGGGCAGAGGGGGCGGGACATCAGCCAGGTCCACCGTGGTCATGCCATTCAGCTCCACACCTGCAAGGTCAGGGCCGTTTAAAAACTGACCGGCAGCCGCACCCCAGGGGGCCTGAGTGCTCAGCTGGCTGTCCATCTCCGGGCAGGGGCGGCAAAGCCAGACACACTTTACCCTGCTCCACGGCAGGCCAGAGAAGGGAGCAGCGAGGAGCAGGAACATGATGGGTGGGACCCCCCTCCAGATAGAATATTCTAGAAAGAGAATAACAAGCACCATACCATGCCTAACACCAGGGTTTATGGCCAGGTATCAATCTGCTACAAAAACAGTCACGTCAATCCTCTGGTCCGCTTGCCTTGGTGCCACCCAGAGTGCTGTGCCGTGACTGTGGTCAGTCCCCCGGGCGGGGGGGGACTGGAGGATGTCACCCAGCCAGCAGCTACGATGCAGCTGCCGGCCTGCCACCACCGCCTCCCGGTCTCCCTGCACAGGGAGCCCACAGTGGCACGGGATGCAGTTCTCAGCAGCGGCAGGTGCTGTGGCTGCCGCTGCCCTCCGTAAGCGGAGGGACACAGCAAAGGGGACGTTTCCAATCGAGGAATGATTACCCCTCGTGGAGACTTAGCCGTAATCTGCCGGGCTTTCTGCTACCGAGAGGGTGACGGACACGTGTATGGATGGGTCTCCTCTGGAGTCTCCCCAGCGTTCACCTGATGCAAGACGCGCTGTTGGGAAAACGCTTCCAAGGAGCCGACCCGTGCGGGCAGAGAGCGGGAAGGAAGCGTCCGTCCCCTGGTGCCGAGCCCTGTCTGTCTGTCTGTCTGTCTGCCTGTCTGTCTGTGGTGGTCTACAGGGACTCCAAAAGGGCCGTGAAGCGTGGAATGAGAGGCAAGCTTACTATGGGACAAGAGTCGGGACTCCCTGCACACACAGGGTCTTCATGAAGATGCGTACTGTGAACAATCATGCATAGAATTTCCATTATCTTCTGCACCCAAAACGAACTTGTCTTTTCACTGCGTTGTCATGGACTTTTTGAAGGCCCCAAGAATACAAGACCTAAAATCTTGTGTACAATTCAGCGACCACACAGGAAGTCGGTGCCCAGTGAGCAGCACGCCCCAGGCCCCTCCCTCCACCCCAGTCACCGCTATGCCCTGCCCCCTTCATTGGCCTTGTCCAGAGGTGCAAGTGGGGGCAACGGCGTTTCTCCTCTGTGAGCATCTTAATTCAGCCAGTGCACCTGCAAGGTCCAGCGCTTCAGCCCTTTCTACGCCTGGGCGCTGTGCGGCTGCGCCAGTATTTCTCTGCATGCACGCTGTGTTTCTCTGTTCCGTAGGGGAGGGGCGTTTGGGTTGCTTCCACCTTTTGGCTACTGGGATTGAGGCTTTGAGGGATGCTCACACACAACTACCTGAGTCCCTGTTTTCAGTTTTTGGGGGTGCGGGCCTAGAAGTGGAACTGCTGGCTCTTATGGTAATTCTACATTTAAGTACTGAGGAACCAACAAAGCGTATTCCTTAGCATTTTGCAATAGTGTCTTTTTGAAATATTTTTTAAAACAAAAAAAGGTTAATGTTTTTTAGAAACAGATCATGTGGTGATAGCATACGGATGTGGGGAGGCCCCCTGCCCCCAGCTCTCTCTCTCTCTCTCTCTCTCAGCAGCCTCTGGTGCAGCTGGCACCACCCCACTTCCCCAGAATCTCTCCAGCTCCCCTTCGGCAACAGCAAACCAGGGCAAGGGCACTTGCCCCTCGCCTGGCGCAGGGCACGCTGCTCTCCTGCCGTGGACCCCTCTCAGCCACAGGAAGGGGCGGGCTCCCCGTGCGGCTTCAGCCCCCACTCCCTGCCACCTCCTTCCTGCCCAGAGTCCCCTCGGATGAGTCGGCACACAGTGGCAAAAGCCGGGTACCACTTCCGGCGGCATGAACAGCACCCTTCCGGAAGATGGATCTCAGGGGTGCACCCAGACCCTCAGAACAGTCTTTGCAGATGCCTTGAGCTGAACGCACCCTGGATGGATGGTGGAGCCCCTAGGCAGTGACTGGAGTGGAGAGGACACAGTGGGAACCGCGGGGCCACAGCCCAGCCACGGTGGGATTGCCGGAAGCCGCCGGAAGCCGCCGGAAGCCGGGAGAGAGGCGTGGGGCAGATGGTCCACATCAGCCTCGTGAAGAAGCTGCCAGCCCACACCCGGCTCAGGCTCCCGAGACACGAGGGGCCGGGGCTGCCTCCCTGCTGCGGGCTGTGGTCGCTGGCTGGGGCAGCCCTGGAGGCTGTGCGGTAAGTGCCGCCCCTTAGCCCCTGCACACTGCCTGGCATGTCTCTTGTGGACACCCGGAGGCCACGGGCCCTACATGGCTCAGGAGCGAAGGGGGCTGTGCCAGGAGAACAGGAGCCTGCCGCCCCCAGCCCCCAACCTCTGCAGTCCGTCAGGCACCTGGGCTGAAGCCACGGCCAGGGTCAAGGGGGACTCGCGGAACGGACGCCCACTTACTGGACTGCAAGCTGAAGCTGAGCTTGGCCCTCGGTGTGACCGGAGGGGGCGTCTGCTGGGCGGGCGAGGATGACGGGGACACGGAGAAGCGCCGCTCGCTCCCGACGACGCTGAGGACCTGGCTCTTGGGTCTCTGGGGCCGCAGGGGACTTATCTGCATTGCGGGGACAGAAAGAGCACAAGGTCTGCAACTGGGCTGAACCCCATCCCTCCCCAAATTCCCGCACTCAAGCCCTAACCCTCCCGACCCCAGGCCACGACGCTGTCTGCAAACAGGCTCTGTGCCAATGACTGCATCGCGATGAGGTCCACAGGGTGGGCCCTAATCCACAACGACAGCTGATGTCCTTCTGAGAAAGGGTGATGGACAGACACACACAGGCAGCATGTGTGCTGCTTCCACATGCCAAGCCTTGCCAGGCTGCCAGCATCCAGCTGAGGGGCACGGCACAGGCGCCAACACCTTGACCTTGGACTTCTGGCCCCCAGCACCGGCAGAGAATGCATCTCTGCGGCTGACACCTCCGACGCAGTGCCTGTGGCAGGAGCTGCACTACACGAATGCGGGGGCTCACAGCACACTGCTTACACAGCCCGGGGACACCAGCTACCGCACAGGTGTCCTGGAGCAGCAGGCTACGGCCGCAACCAGTCAGACACCATGCGAGACACACAGGGCAGCCTCCAAGGGCCAAGAGCAAAAGGGACCAGGCAGGGCTCAGCTCCAGGGCCCCAGCCTGCCCCTGACACTGGCCTCTCCTGGCGAGCGCGTGCGCATGGAGAACCTCGTCTCTGCTGCTTTCCATCTCTCCCCTCGTGCGACGCTGGTACTGAGTAGGATTCTCTCTCCTTCTCACACTTCCTACAACGTGGTCTCAGGCCATCAGGCCTCAGAGAGCCCCAGCTACTACAACACTCTGAGGCGGGAGTCAGCAAAAAGGTGATGAGCCCAGCTCACCAGGAGGGCTCCAGCCCACACCCTCCCCCACCACCACCCGAGGAGGGCCAGGCAGGTGTGGCCTGGCTCGGCACTGTGGCCTGACCTGTGGGCCTGGAGTGTGGCTGCCTGGGTAGTGGTACGGGGTCTGCAGTGTCACTGCAGGGGATGGGCAAAGCCAGCGCCAGTCCGGGGCTCTGAGGCTGGAAGGAGAGGGCCCTGGCTGGGAGGAGGGGTGAGGCTCAGTGGAGAAGGAGTGACTCGCAGCCACAGGCGACAGGGCCACTTCCGGAACTCTCCTGCACCGCACGGCCGGGTCCCGGTCAGCCGGGTTGCTGGGAGAGCTCTGGAGGTGCCGGGTCACTGGGTCAGTGCGCCTGCGGGCTCGGCAATGGCTCAGGCGCCTCTGCCGGCCTCTGCTGCCGGGCCCCTGAGGCAGAGAGCAGAGGGGGCTTCACTGGGGACACGCAGGGTGGAGCCTGCAGGTCCGACTCACAGAGCCTCAGTGAGAGGTCAGGAATTGCTGCCGACGCACACGGAGTACGGAGAAGCGGAGAGGAGGGAAGACTTAGGCAGAAGCTCTGGGAGACTGGGTGGTGGGAGGCTGGGGGCTGGGAGATGGGGGGCTCCATGGCAGTACCAGGGGCCCAGGGAACACTAGCGGGCACCGATGTCACCCCTGGCCCTGCCCCGGGGGTGCACGCCTGGCCACAGGCACAGAGGCCCATGCAGGACAACCCCTGGTGCCCGACTCTGTCCTTACACCTCTTGTTGGAACCTGTCCCCTCCCGGTGGCCACTTTGTGGAGAGAAAGGCAGCTGGTTTGGACCAGGGTCAACTGCTGGCCTCCCGGTGGCCGTCCTGGGCCTGGCTCAGATGCTGACAGCCAGGTCAAGGTTCTGCGATCTGACCGAGGTGAGTTCTGAGGGCTTTCTGATGGCACTCAGGGGGCCGTGTGGCCCCGCCTCTGGCCTTGGCAGCCTCAGGGAGGGGCGGAAACTGTGCTCTGATGGCCTGGGGCCTGTCCTGGGACTGCTCTTCACCCAAACCTGCTGAGGTCCGCTCTGCCACCTGGCTCCATCTTGAAACAGAGCCTGAGTCAAAGTGCATGAGACTCAGTGGGAGTCTGGGATTCATGGACTGTGCAATCAACGCTTCCGTCCCTTCCCCCACCCACTTACAGGGGTTGAAACTTGAGAATTCTCTCCCGGGCTTGGGAGAAGCTTCAGCCGGCATCCCAACTGGAAGAGTGGACACAGATGGAGGCTGGGTCATCTGGGGCTTGGCACCTGGGCAGTTCATGCCTCCACTGGGCCCCATGGCCGTGTCCACCTGCAGGCTGCGCTGAACATGACCACATGGCTACAGCTGTGGCCAGCACATGCCCACGGGCCTTAGCAAGTGCCCACCTGCTTGGAGGCCCCGATGGCTCTCACCTCTGCCTTCCCCCATAGAGAGTCAGGCCACATGAGGCTGCCGCTGCACACTCTGGTTTTAAGGGAGGGGCACGTCTAGGAAAAGGGTCCCTAACTGAGCCCTATGATCACATGACCCTGCAATCACAGCCGAGACACGGCCGGTCAGGTCACGGGTGACAGCAGGGCAGGCTTCCTCCCAGTCAGCACACAGGTGAACGTCCCCGGTTTCCAGGGGAAAGTGTGGCTCTAAGTCTCAGTTCCACCTTTGAAGCTGACACTTGTGAGAATGACTCTTAACAGTTTTGTTTCTGGTCTAACTGTGGCTTACAATGTCCGGCCAGCAAGGGACAAGAGAAAGGCGTTAGCTGACACGGGAGCTGTTTTCTGCCAGAAGCAGCACTCCTACTCACGTCCTAGACACTGGGACACACGTGGGGACCATGCCCAGCAGAGCTGCGAGGAGCTGAGCCGCCAGGAGGGGAGGGTGAACACCCAGGTGTGGAGACCAGCACTCTGCTGGGGAGCGGGGGGGGCTGCGGCTCTGCGTCTCCCACTGCCCCCAGCCCCCGGCGACTCCAGGGGGGCCGAGGGGCCCCGGGGTTTCCTAGCTACTTCTTTGCAGCAAGTGCAATCCAGAAGCCACGGCCCAGGGGGGAGGACCCCGGCTGTTACCGTTTCTGAGAGGATCACGGCCTCGGACTGCGGGGGGCAGGCGTCGGCAGGCCTGAAGTCCTTCTCCAGGGTCTCCTGGTGCCTGCTGTTCCTCTTTTCCTTCTTCTTGTCCTTCCTCTCCTTGTCCCCGTCGTCCTTGTCCAGCTTGTCCTGGGAGCGCGAGTGCATCTTCTTCGGCAGGAGAGGCTCCAGGGCGAACCTAAAGGGAAGGAGTCTTCCAATCAGCGTCGTCTTCCGGAAAGGACGCTTGCTCCCCACCCTGCAGGCTTAGGCCAGGCCACCCGGCGCTGGCCAGTGCTCCCTGCCCTTTAGGAGGAAGGGAATGGCTTACACAGGACGCTGAGGGCAGCTTCAGACGCACCATAACCAAATGCAGGTGCTGTGTTTGGATCCCAATAAAAAGCAGCAGCGAGAACCCCACAGAATCTCTGTGAGCCTGGCCAGGCTGGTGATATTAAGAGATTATCCTTTACGGTGGTAGGATGGCATTTTAAGAATATTTTGAAAGGGGAGCCCTGGCCTTTCGGGGTTGCGTGGAGACATTTAGATGATATTGAAAGGATCTGCAGAAATATTCACAAACACAGCAGGGAAAAATAGGCAGGTGCAGATGCACAGATTTCTACCTAAGTTTCTAGGATTTTGGAGACACTGGTTGGCTCCACGTGGAGAGGCCGATGGACGGCTCAGACAGAAGCAAGGTGGCTCCATCTTGCTGTACCCAGGGGCGCCCCAGGGTTTCAGCCTGAACTCAGCACGACAGGGCACCTGGATCCCAGCACTGCCACTGGATGCTAAACTCTGCTATCCCCTGGGAGCTTCATAAAAGGCACCCAGGAGACCACCAGCCTTCTGCCTCCTGACCTTGCACAGCTGATGGGCAAACATGATAATGATCCCATTCCTGAGTAAATGGATCTTGGACAAGTGCCTAAGGCATGTGTCAAAAGGTTAGTGAGTACCTGTGTGTGCATATATTCATTTATTTATTTGAAAGCAGAGTGACAGAGAGAGGAGAGACAGGGAGATCTTCCACCCACTGGTTCATTCCCCAAATGGCCACAATGACCAGGGCTGAACCAGGCTCAAGAGAGGAGCCAGAAGCTTCTTCTGGGTGTCCCATGTGGGTGCAGGGACCCAGGGACTTAGGCCATCTTCTATTGCTTTCCCAGGCACATCAGCAGGAAGTTGGATCAGAAGTGGAGCAGCTGGGACTTGAACCAGTGCCCACATGGGATGCCGGCACCGCAGGCTGTGGCTTAACCCGCTACACCACAGCGCTGGCCCCATGGTTTGCTAACTTAAAACGAGGCTGGTTTGTCCACCCTGTTTCTTCTCTGATACACCATAAGGGGAGGGGAGGACAGGCATCCAGTTCTGAGACTGGACTTCACCTGTGTCTGCAGCCCTTGCTGTCGAGAGGGGAAAAGGGCCAGATGGGAAATGGGAAAACCTCAGTGTGCTCAGAAATAGGATACCGTTATCAGGATCTTACATTTTCAAAACAGAGCAACCTGAAAATGGTCTTTAAAGAGATACGGTCCCTTGAGAGAAGTCACAGTTACGTGGTCACACAGGGGAAGGATCGACATTGTGATTTCCGCAAACGCCGTTTAAACTGTGGTCTCCATTTCAGTTCCACACGCAAGGCCAGGAAATCAGGAGCCAAAGCTCCCTGCCCCCTGGCTGCCCACCGTCCACACAGTCCCCACCCCAGGTGGACGGAGCTGGGCCCTGGGCCCACCCTTGGGAGCTCCTGCTCCTCTCAGCAGCTCTCAGACCCCACTTCCTGGACCTCCAGGGTCGCTGGCCTCTTCAAGCGGTCCCACGAGAAACGAATTCAGGAAGCTGTTTCTCCTAAACGCATCTCCGAATGGGACATTTGGAAGGAAAGCACCGCTCCAGTTAAATGACAGCCTCGCTCCGCAGGATGGGATGTGCCGCTGACACTTAGCTGACTGCGAGGGCGCTGGGTCACAGAGCTGCACTGAGCCACAGACCACCAGGCGGCTGGGAGCAGGAATCCCACTCCTGCGGCTGCTCACCCAGGCCTCTGTGCTGTGCAGAGGGATCTGTTGTCATGGCACAAACACAACCTAAACAGCAAGAGCATTGACTCTAGGCATTGATTATCAATAGCTCTTCACATCATGGTGGGGGGGCGGGGGAGAGAGAGAGGGAGGGAGGGAGGGAGGGAGGGAGGGAGGGAGGAGGGAGGGAGGGAGGGAGAGAGAATGAGCTGAGGACGATGCACCTCTGAACACAACAACAGGCAACTACGTGGAAGCCCTCTTGTCCCCAAATCAAACCTACACCCGAGCAAGGTTCTAGACTCAGCGACCAACATGCAGGAGACGTGGAGGGCAGAGACACACGGCACACACTGCAGGGCAGGCCAGCAGCAAGATCCAGACTCTGGGACCCACAGGACAGGCAACCTGGACTTTCCAATAAATAAGTTCCAAGGAAAGGAAGTGTTTTTTTGACAGGCAGAGTGGACAGCGAGAGAGAGACAGAGAGAAAGGTCTTCCTTTTCCGTTGGTTCACCCTCCAGTGGCTGCTGTGGCTGGTGCGCTGCGGCCAGCGGACCACACTGATGCGAAGCCAGGAGCCAGGTGCTTCTCCTGGTCTCCCATGCGGGTGCAGGGTCCAAGCACCTGGGCCATCCTCCACTGCACTCCCTGGCCACAGCAGACAGCTGGACTGGAAGAGGGGCAACCAGGACAGAATCCGGCGCCCCGACCGGGACTAGAACCCGGGGTGTCAGCGCCGCAGATGGAGGATTAGCCTAGTGAGCTGCGGTGCCGGCAAGGAAAGGAAATTTTTAAAATGCACTAAAAATAGCTTGAAGAGATAATACCAAGTGGAAGGTGAGAATCTTATTTGGGCCCTGTCTCATATAAATTGTGAAAAATCACGAAACTTACAACAATGGGAAATTAACACTGATTTTTCATAATAATAGGGAATTCTGATTAGTACTTTATGTGCAATAAACTAATACAGTTATGTTTTTGAACTTGCTATAGATAAAATAATCTGATGTTTGGGATCTGCTGCAAAATACTATGGAACTTCCAGGAGTTCATGGAAAAAGAGAATGAGAAATTTATTTTGGTGCAAAAAAATTTAAACCTATGTATAGTTTCTCATAATACACATTCTCCATGAACTTTTTGAAGTTCCCTCATATAATATGGGGTGGGGGGCCAGCGCTGTGGTGTAGTGGGTTAAAGCCACCACCTGCAGCGCTGGCATCCCATATGGGTGTCAGTTGGAGTCCCAGCTGCTCTACTTCCGATCCAGCTCTTTGCTGTGGCCTGGGAAAACAGTAGAGGATGGCCCAAGTCCTTGGGCCCCTGCACCTGCCTGGGAGACCAGGAAGAAGCTCCTGGCTCCTGACTGGCACAATTCCGGATGTTGTGGCCATCTGGGGAGTGAACCAGCGGATAGAAGACCTCTCTCTTTGCCTCTGCCTCTCTAATAAATAAATAAATCTTAAAAATAATAATACGGGGTGCGTGGTGGGTGGGATACAGACTGAAATGAAGTTGTCTCAGAGCTGATCATTGTTGAAGCTGGCTGCTAGGGCTTGGAGTCTCATTATACTGCTTTGTCTACCCTGGGTCTGTCTGCAATTTTTCCACAACAGAAAGCTTAAAAATCTAAAACTATTGATAGAATATACCAGCACTAACTTTGGTCCTGAAGGTATTTTGAGACACTTGGATTTTTCCAACTGGATATATATTAGCCAACAAAACAACATCTATTAGATGTTAATATATCTATTATAGGCCGGCACCGCAGCTCACTAGGCTAATTCTCTGCCTGTGGCGCCGGCACCCCGGGTTCTAGTCCCAGCTGGGGCACTGGATTCTGTCCCGGTTGCTCCTCTTCCAGTCTGGCTCTCTGCTGTGGCCCAGGAGTGCAGTGGAGGATGGCCCAAGTGCTTGGGCCTGCACCCGCATGGGAGACCAGGAGAAGCACCTGGCTCCTGCCTTTGGATCAGTGCAGCACGCCGGCCATAGCGGCCATTTGGGGGGTGAACCAACGGAAAAGGAAGACCTTTCTCTCTGTCTCTTTCTCACTGTCTAACTCTGCCTGTCAATATATATATATATATATATATATATATATATATATAATACGACAACAAAAAGGCTTGTTTGTTTTATTCGAGGTTTTTCAGAATTTGAGAAAATGAACATATAGTAAAAAGAAAAAAAATCCATGGCCCGCTTTCCTCCCGGGGGAGGACCTATGTGAGATCCTGCCGAGTGCACAGACGCCAGAGAAAGACAGGTTGAGCTTTAAATTTTCACCTGATGAGAAGCAGCCACCATCAGGATGAACTTTATTCTGCACATAACCCATGCCCTTTGAGACTTAAATCTCATTTTTCCACATTAGTTGGATAGCGAGGGTGGTAACCCAGAGACTAAAGGCGAATCTGGACTCTAATAAAGATGGTTCTAGTTAAAGGTTACACCGACGCCGCCCGGGGAGGGGCTGGCCGAGAGCCCGTGTCCTCACAGGTGGCATTTACCACTCTTCTCTCCAAGAGCTCGGGGTCCACCTCCAGCCCAAGCCCTGCATTCCTGGAGATACGAACGCCTTTCACAAGTAGCCTGGGGACTGTTCTTGGGGAGAAGCTGAATTAGATTTCTTCAGCAATCTTTGTGCTGGCTGACAAGCACACATGATTTAAATACCTCTAAATTGAGAATTTCCATATGGACTTGGCCTTATAAATATCAGATGCTGCTAACAATTAATGGCAGGAAGAAAAGCCTGGGTGGAGCTGCGACTCTGCATTGGGTACGTCAGTTTTTGGCAACAAAGGGCACTTTGAGCTGAGTGTCCCTGGGGCTATGCTTGCAATCTGTGTGTCCCCGCGGATGGGGCCAGGAGCCTGCGGGTGAAGGGTGATGGATTGTACACCAAATGGGATTGGACACAGTTGTGCAAACTCAACACAGAACAATTAGTGACTCCCCTCTGAGGTTCAAAGTGCAAGCAACAGTGTTTCTTTTCATATAATAAGAACAAGCTTTACATCTTGCCTTTGAAAACCACAAAGAATATCAACATCGAGGTTCCCTTTGCAATAATCAGACCTCACGCAAGAGTCACAGGGAGTGCTCATGAAGGTTAGTTATTTTGCTTTACTACTCGATTCTTGTTTGCTTGGTGCTGCCGGGTGCTCAGGATCAAACACGGGCCTACAAAGTGGTTTTGCAGAAACAAGGTAGCCCATGATGTGGTTTACAGGAGGAACTCGGAGTAGCCAAAATTACAAACAGCGAGGAGAGCAGGGGTGCCAGGGGCTGGGGGGGCTGCAGGCTGGGGAGTTACTGTTTAATGGATACAGAGCTTCAGTGTTCCAAGGTGAAGGGAGCGCCATGGAGGGATGGTGGTGATGGCTGCAAAGCCACGAGGGTGTCCCTAAGACCATGGAGCTGTGCACTTGATGGTGAAGACGCGATGTTCTGTTCTGTGTAATTTTCCACAATAAAAGCAAGCGGGAAAAAGCACTCACACCCTCAGCATTTCCCTTTAAAAAGCAACACACCGTAAACGTTTTGCTGGCAAAGAAAAAACAAAATAGGAAGAAACAGAAATGAAGGTTGCCCAGCAGCGTCCTATAAGTCTGGTGCAGTGGGGCACTGGGAACGTCCCATGCCAGCCCCGCCCTGGCACGCCAGCCCGGAGGCAGCACAGAGCCCAGGAGCCATAGGTAGGGGGTGAGTGCTCAGGGCGGCTCTGCACGGGATGGGAATCTTAACTCGGCAGACCCTGGAGGCTGCGATGTTTCGGAGGGCCTCAGTTTCAAAGGCAACACTGACTTAAAGACAACCCCCAGTTGTGATGAAACACAGGGCCCTGGGCCCGACTCACCCATCGGAGCCCGGCCTGGACGGGGTGCTGTCTGACGACAGGGAAGAGACGGAAGCCACGGACAGAGGCCGGGACGTCGAAGGCATGGTGAAGGACCGCACCATGGACCGGGGGCGGCTGCCTCTTCTCTCATCCAGACTTGAGGGCTGAGAGAGGGAGAGAGACTTGTCTGAGGCTGTACCTGCTGTGGCCAGAGTCCCGCAGCTCAGCCATCTCACAAGGAGGACTCTGGACCACAACTGTGCACCTGTTTATAAGCAGTTTCTGTTCTTGCTCTGAGCTGAGGACAAAAGTGATGATTATTTCAGAGTCTTCTGAAACTTGAATGGATGTTATAAAAAAAAACAACAACTACAACCAGGAAGCACCTTCTTCGTCTTTGTATTTTCAACGCAGCTTTCCTCTCCAAGACCATACTGCACCAGCCCGTTCCAAAGCCACAATGAAGACGCAATGTGTTGAATGATCTCTAGAATGCGCTTACAGGATTCACAAGATCTGCAGATGAGCCCTGTACGCCTGTGAATGCTGGCGAACTGTGCAGATCACCAAAATACACGACAGCTTCTCTGCACTAAAGCAAGGTGCTCCTGTGGCCTTGTTAACGGTGGGTTTCCTCCTTCGCAAGGGACTGGCACAACAGACCAAACACAGACACAGCCAGGGCTGCTCAGTAGCTGGAAGACGCATTTGGGAGAAAACTGGTCTCTGGGTGGAACTTTCCACGCTCTCTTCGTCATGTGGTACCCCAGCAAGAGTCATTAAAGCATGGATGGTGTCAACGTACACTCAGCTAGGACATGCTGTTGCTCCTGCGCCCAGAGCCAGATGTGCAAACGCTGGGATGCAGCAGGTGCACAAATGTTCTGCTCTACCAGAGGACACAGAACCGGCCCCTCTGAAGGTCACTTCCTGTCTGCATCGCTTCCCACCCAACCTGAGCTATCCCCTCATCCCAGCAGTCACCTGCAAAACCCTGCTGTGGACCCAAGGGTTCCAGGCTTCAGCGGTAAGACACGCTTGGTTATGGATTACACAACTCCACTTCCACACCCAAAAAGTGAGCCTGTGTCTTAAACTCCAAGTAAAATCCTACTACTTGACTTGTAAACTATTTCTTTCAAAGTAAAGACTCTAGCAAAAGCACACAGGAGTTGCTAAACTCTTCTCTAATTGGCTCACAGCAATGTGCAGCTGGAGTTTGCTGGTCAGCCTTGGACTTAGCCCCAGTGATGGCACCAGTGGCTGTCTCCATGGCAATGTCCTTGACATTAACCAGCAGAAACTCAAAGGGTGACAGTCACCTGCAGATGGTCCCTGTCTGTGAAGACGTTTCCTACACAATATCCGGTGGCTCCGAGTTTCCACCATGGCCACCCCTCAGCCTCTGGGCAGCACGTGGCAGCCTGTCTCCCAGCCAGCCCCGAGGGCCTTGTTTTGGGTCCGGGCTGTTCCTGGCCGTCCACAGAAGGGCCCATTAGGCTCTCCAGTCTGCCACCTCCGGCACCAGCCGCCCCACCTCGGCCACTGCCTCTTCTCGGGGCAGCTCTGCGGGACTCTGTGCCCCTTCACTCTCTGATCCAGACTGCTGCCCTGGCTGTTTGCTCTCTCCCACCTCCTCCTCCACAGCAGCTTTTGAAGATGGGCACAGAGCGGGGGAACTGGCTTGGTGGAACCGGAGAAAGTGCTGGTCTTTCTGTAGACCATCCCACCTACCTGGGCGGGGAGAGCTGCCTCCCTGCCTCTCCCTGGGAACCATTTGTGGCTGGAATCTAATCGGATCCTCTTCAGATACAGGTGGGGGCAAGAAGGGAAGAGAGCCAGCAATCTTAAGCCGCTGGGAATTCTGCGGCTCGGAGGACATGGCCAGCAGCCCCCAAGGGAATGAAGCTGAGCATGTGGTGAGAAGGAACTTGACCACCCAACAGCCGGCTGGGGCCCTGGCGCTGTGAACCCCATCATGTGTCCAGCACATTGGTCTCCGTGTCTCTGTGATGGAGTGACCTTCACAGCAGCACAGTACTAGCAACTGGACCCCCAGGGCCTGTCAGGAGTGCAGGTGTGAGAACATGCTAGAATTTGGGCTCTGAGCTTCAGCTGTCCCAGGACACAGGGGTCTGGCGTGAGGACAACAGAGGTGAAGCCTCAGAGCATGGGACTGTGGATGGCCCAGAGCAAAAATTCATTTCTGCTCTCTTACCAGGCACATCGCTAGACCTGCCCAATGCCTCTAGGTTTTTTGTCTTTGTCTCCCAGCCAAAGGGGCTGTGAGGTCCCACCTGCATTAGTCATAGTGTTTAATGTCCCCTAAGTCACAGGTAGGAGTGGGAGGGAGGGAGGGAGGGAGGTGGGGCAGGTGTGGTTTTTTTTTTTTTTTTTAAGGGAACAGAGAGAGAGAGGGAGAGGGAGAGAGAGATGTTCCCATACCCTGCTTCTCTCCCCAAAGGCCCACAATGGCCAAGGCTTGGCCAGACTGAAGCCAGGAGCAGGAACGCAATCCATATCATCCGAGTTCATGGCAGGAACTCAGCTCCTTGGGCCATCACCTGCTGCCTCCCAGGTCTGCATCAGCAGGAAGCTGCTGTCAGGAACTGGAGTGGGGAACTGAACCCAGGAACTCCGACGTGGGACGTGGGACGTGGGACGTGGGACGTGGGCATCCTAACTGGGAGTCCCAATGCCAACGCCCACTTCCTGGATTAACTGAATTCAATGACGATGACTGGGAGTCCCAATGCCAATGCCCACTTCCTGGATTAACTGAATTCAATGATGATGACTGGGAGTCCCAATACCAACGCCCACTTCCTGGATTAACTGAATTCAATGATGCTGACCGGGGCTTTACCAGGAAGGTGAGAAGCAGGTGCATGTCGCAGGTCCCTGGAAACGTGCTTGGCAGATGCTACACAAATAGCAGCCACGGGCAGACGACCCACAGAGGGCGATACTGTCCTTGAGAGCGGTAGGTGGCAAGAAGGTCTGGGCGGGCCAGGGACAGCCTGTGCGCCGTGTGGAGCACTGACCTGATCCCCCTCCCCCAGGGCAGAGACAGCAGCACTTGCAGCCCCCCGGTCTGCACGCGTCACCTGGCTGATGCTGTCACGTCACACCCTTCTCCCCACCTGTGAAATAATCCCCGGGAGTGGGTGAGGCTGGAACTGGCTCCCAAGGAGGGCGCCATCAGCTCAGCCTCCCAACCAACAGCTCTGTCAGCAGCCGTGGAGGGGCCCTGGGTCCTGTGGATTCCAGGGAGAAAACCCAGGCACCGGCCCAGCTACCTGTGCAAGGTGTGGAGGGTGAGAAGCCCTGCAGACAGAGGCCAGGTCAGGGGCCCCCTCGTGGGACCAGAAGACCCTGGCGAGCCCCCGCATGAGGCAGCCATGAAGGATGACCCCGGGCCTGTCTTCAGCCTGACTGGGGGGGTGTAGCTGTGGCCAGGGCAGGGGTCGAAGGGTGACTGGGCACAGGGGGCCAGGGGTGGGAGGGTAACTTGCAGTTTCAGAGCAGCTGAAGAGGTGGTCCAGGGTGCAGGGGGAGAGGAGCAGCCGGCCTCGGGGATGATGGGCACACGAGTGGACAGAGCAGGTCCCCTCCCGTCCCTCACCTGACTTGCAGGAGGAGAGGGAGGAAGATGAAGGTGGGATGAGAAACACAGCTTTTTGCTGAGTTTAAAGGCAGGGGCTGAGCTGGGTGTAGCTGGCAGTCATGGTCTCTCTTCCCTCGGGCCTGGGATCTGCAAGCCTTACTCTCTGGGGGCCGGGGAGGCCAGGCTGCTGGGCTCCCATCCAGGGGCCGGTGGCGCCCCAGAGCCCAGGACTGGCCGGATGGAGGCTGACACAGAGCGTGCGGGGGGCCTGTGTATTATGAAGTCAGACGGTGTCCAAATCCTCTCGTTTTAGGGCTTAGGCTGGCTCAGGAAAATTGACAAAATGGTTTATGTCCTTTCCATAGGCTTTTTATTTGTAAATCCATCTCTTTGGAAACAGGATGATGCTATATTGCTTTTCAAGGTACTCTCAGATGCTTGCAAGTTTCCAAAGCAGATAAGACAGGAAGGGCTCTCGCCAGACTGCTCTTTCTTGCCACATTTCTCAGGGAATGACAAGGGTGTCTGCCCTGCCTCTGGGCTGGCTCCAAGAAGCCTGGCGGCACTGCCTGCCTTTGGAGTCCCAGGACGGAGGAGGAGGAGGGAAGGCAGCTCCGGGGGGTTGGGGAGATGCCCTCCTCACTTCCGGTCCTGGCTGCCCCAGCAGGGGATGGTGGGAAGCTGGAGGGGACAGCACGGTTTCAAGGGGTGGTGGGCATCGCTGGTTCAGCCAAGGATGGCACTGTGGGTGCAGCAGGGGCAACCTGTTCTCGGCTGGGAGACGCTGCCGCCACCCACCCACACTCCCACCTCTGGCCCTGGCCTTTCCCTCCACCTGTGCCGGGCAGTGACACCACTGCAGAGGAGCGGTGAGCCTGAGAGCTCTCTGTAGTGGGGGGTATTAATTACGTGATTGCTAAATGCAGAAGCTCCTCACTCAGTGAGGAAACCTCACGATTCCCCAAGCGTTTCTCTCCCAGAATCAGGAGCAGCCTGGAGCTCTGACCGAGACGCTCAGGACACCCGCGCCAAGCGCTTCTTGCTGCACAACTCCGACTGCAGTGAGCTGGGAGCTGGCAGCCCCAGGCACGATGCAGGACTCCGGCCTCTGAGACGGGGCCTCGCGAGGGGCTCCCGGGACAGCACCCTGAGTCCGAGGCTGCTTGCCGGCAGCGGCTCCCGCTGGGCTGGCAGTCAGATTCCCACCTGCTGGGCTTGCAGACCAGGGCCCGTGGTCAGGCCCATCCCCCGTCTGGCCTGGGCTGGGAGACCCGGGGGCTCGGCCACGCCCAGCAGGACTGTCTCAAGCCTGCTGCGAGACCTCCAGCATAGGGCTTGCTCTTCGCGTCACTGAAAATCACAAACTGCTCTTTCCCTCCCACTCCTGATCCAGCCCCAGCTCTCAGAAACCTTTCTTGGACTCACGGCAAAAGTCTGGTTCCGCCTCACCTCCCAGCCCCTGCCTGGTGTTGTAGGCCCTCGGAGGTTGGGTGCCGTTCCCACTGCTGCCCTGAGATTTGTCTTCTGCCCCAGGCATGTCTGTGCCTGCACTGGCCTCTGGCTCACCATTCAAACTCCTGCCACCCAGCTCTGCGGAGGGCCTCGCTTCCCAACACAGTGTCTTCTCTCCTCCCAGTCACCTCCCACTTGGCTTCCTTTGCCCAGATCAGCCACCTCTTCCTTGAGAAGGTCGGTCTGGGCTGATAGCTGCAAACCTCAGTATGCGTCCCTTCTCCCTCATGGCTACAGTTCTTAGATATCGGCTTTGGACTGGGTGCAGGCGCCACCTCTGCTTTACGGAATCGCGAGTGCTCCTGCTCTTGGGTTATGTAAGCAGGTGTGTGTGTGTGTGTGTGTGTGCGTGTGTGTGTTGTGGGAACATAGGAGTGGGATCTGTTAACCACCCAAGGGTCATGGGCCACTGCTCCAGAACATAAAGGGTCCACAGTGTTCCAGCGGGTGTGTGGGGTGTTTGGTGATCCGACATGTCCAGTTACTGAAAGGAAGTGGCAGACCGGCGGAGGAAGGGTCTGAGTTTCCTCACACCACCCCTGCAGGCATCCTGGGCACACATGAGCCCCTCTGGGCAGCGAGCCAGCCACAGCCCCAACCCCCGACCCTCCGTGGCGAAACCCACATACCATGGTTCGAACGCCATATTGCTTTTCCACTTTCTCCTTCAGCTGTTTGAAACAGGCTTCCATTCGCTCGTGGAATGGCCTCAGTGCTTCCGTCACTTTGTCTCCATGGATCCTGATCCCTTCGGCCAAAAATGGAATCTGAAAAACACAGAGGTTGATGCTCCGTATTTCTTGGTTAATGACTTAGGAAGACCCGCCCACACCAAGGGAAAGCGGCACTGTGCCAAATGCACCTGCCTTTGTTTCCAGACCGAGCTGGCTGATTACTCTCATCAGCAAGAGCTGATCCCCAAAGACCAAAGCGTTGAAATAAAAATCATCAGTGTCTTGAGCTGGAACAGCCAGTACAGCATCTCCATACGATGGCCTGCTTGGCCGGATGCGCACGTGTCCAGTCTCAGAACAGATTTCTCTGTGTTTCTCCTCTGGAACTGGGGAAGGGAGACTTTGATATGTGTAGGTGCAGCTTGTTCTGTTAGCAAGGGGTCATGCCAGAGTGCCGACGTCTCTTAGCTAAGAGTAAGCGCTGCTTTCAGTGGTGATGGAGACCCTTGGGCCAAAATGTAAAAAATGAAATCTATGTGATCTGTGGTCCCGAAGGATATTCTTATTGGAAAGGAAAACCAAATTTATGTCTCCTTAACACTAAAAATAATCGCGTCTCCGCTGACAACGCTGCCACAGAATATCCACGCCAGCATTTCGCTCCCCAGAGTGGCGTGGAGTGACCTTTGCAAGTGTCGCCAGAGAGACCTTTTCCTTCCCACAGCTGAGAGAGCTCCTGAGACTCACTGCTGTTGGCGGCCGGCAGGAAACGGCCTCCCTCCCGCCTCTGGCCTCTGCTTCCCCCGCGGCGCTCAGACGATCTTCAAGGGAATCAAGCTAAGAGGTTTTCGCTTAATAATTTATAATTAAATCAAAACACCGATTAAAACCAGATTTTCCTCCTCGCGCAGAACAGCGATCTTAGCGAGCAGGTTTATTAGTAAGAAGGAGAGTAAGTACACAATCGAATTTCATGTGAACAAATTCAAGGAATCTCATCAAGATGAATCCACGCACGGCACGTATTTGGTTGCCATTTATAGCGCACCGCCGTTGCCTCTTAGGGAGGGAGGGCATGGGCAGGGGCTCCGGGTGCTCGCCGCCCACCCGGCCGCCTGCGGGCTGCAATGACTCGGAAGTCAGTGTTGCCCACACAAGGGCCCATTACCCCTCATTACCCCTTTCTGGCCGGTTACTCCCGAAAGAGCAGCAGGCAGGGGGGATTCCAGAATCCACGGGTGGTTTTCATGCTCCACGGCCATCACTCACATGGAGTGGATTACCCGGGGCCGGACAGGGTGCCCAGGAGCAAAGCTCGCTCTGTGCACCCTCTGGTGATCCGTTTGCTTCCGGAGCTGCCTGTAGGCAACCAAGGCCCCCCGGTCCTCAGAGCACTTCTGGTAGAACAGCTGTCTCCCAAACATGCAGATTTCAACCTAATCCTCTCATTGTTTGGCAGGTGAGATAAAAACTCTACATTAGGGGGCCAGTACTGTGGCGTAGCGGGTAAAGTCACCTCCTGCAGTGCCGGCATCCCATATGGGCGCTGGTTCGAGTCCCAGCTGCTTCACTTCCAATCCAGCTCACTGCTATGGTCTGGGAAAGCAGAAGATGGCCCAAGTCCTTGGGCCCCTGCACCCACGTGGGAGACCTGGAGGAAGCTCCAGCTCCTGGCTTTGGATTGGTGCAGCTCTGGCCGTCGCAGCCAATTGGGGAGTGAACCAGCAGGTGGAAGACCTCTCTCTGCCTCTCCTCTCTCTGTTTAACTCTTTCAAATAAATACATAAATCTTTTTAAAAACCCTCTACACTAGATTCTTTATATTTGGGGTGTGTTTTCTTGGAGGAGATGAGTTCAGACCACCTGGTTTGGGTCACTGCTAAGACTCTAACTGCACTTTGGCCAGTGGAACTCACAAGGTGTGAGAACAAGTCACTCTCAACAGTCCCTGATGCTGATCACGCAGGAACTTCTTTGGGGATGGGATCTGGGCCCCTATTGTTTGTCTACAGGGGCTGAGCTACAGCTGTGATCCTACAAGAGAATAGTAAGACATTCTGTGCAAACACACAGCCACGCGTGAGGTGCCTGATACACAAGTCAGAGCTGCAGGGTTCGAAACGGTCTTCTGAGACCCTTTGGTTCAGGGGGCTCCAACTCAGCCGCGCATTAACGTCTCTTGTGTAGATAGCAGAACTCCGCCCCAGAGCCTCTATTGCTCTAGGTGGGCCCCAGGGACCCTCACCCCTGAAGGGTTCCCCGGAGCCCGGAGCGGAGGAGGGCTTTCCCAAAACCATCCCCATAATCCCTCCAAGCTGAGGGCCACTCCCAAGCCCCATCCCAACGGGCAGTGCTGGCTTCGATGTCTGCTCCTGCCTGTCCCCTGCTGATCCACGCGCTGCCAGCTGCCCAGGACCCCTGGAGCCCCCTAGTGCTCCCAAGGTTCCAGCCCGGCCACAGCAGCCGTGCCTGTCACGGGCTGGGGACGAGGACTTTGGTCTTTCTTCTTGGCACATGTGGGGAGAGAAACACATATACACGGAGGCAGCTGAAAGCACACCTGGACCGGTGTCTGGACACGCGGCAGGGTGTGCAGCAGCGACAGCTCAGGACCTGGTGTCATCGGCAAACACGGAGGAGACCCAGGCAGCCCGCACCGGACCCCAGCCTCGCACTCTGCTTCAGAGACAGCCAGCAGAGGCGGCGAGCTGCCTGGGACTCACCAGCCAGACTTCACAAAGGAGTCTGGGCACAGAGCTGCTGACCGTACATACGTACGCACACCTGTGACCGGAACCCCTGAGTCCCGGGAGGAAACCCTCGCCCTGTCCTGATGGGAGCAAAAAATCCTCCAAAACCCCAAACTGCCTGTTTTTAATGACTCTCTGGCTCCATTACTGTTACTAAGACCCGGGTTTTCAAAACATTTGCAAATGAAGGCGAAGTCCCAGGTAATGTTTTGAATATGTATTTCTCCTCACTCTTTGATTTAATGAAGTTGCTATAAAACGGATTCTTTCTTTCAACTTTCCCAAGAGCTGCTTTAAAATTCTCCCTTTAATATAGCTATTACAGGTGATGACACAGTGCTGACACACAGTTGCTCTCTGGGGAGCAAATTATTTTCCTCTGTAGGACTGGAAACTCTTAAAATCCAATTTGCTGTAAGAGCTTACAGGAAAAAAGAAATCAATAGAACTTTTGCAGACCAAACTAGTTTTTGTGTTACAGCCGTCAGAAGAGTTTTGAATTTTGTCCTCCTTCGTTTCTACAACGTCTAAACAGAATCATTCCGATTTTTAAACTCCCTCCTGTTTTTTCAGTAACGGAGGCTGCCATAGGAGGCTGAAATTTCTTCTTCTTCTTCTTTTTTTTTTTTTTTTTTTTGACAGAGTGGACAGTGAGAGAGAGAGAGAGAGAGAGAGAGAGAGAGAGAGAAAGGTCTTCCTTTTGCCGTTGGTTCACCCTCCAATGGCTGTCGTGGCCGGCGCACCGCGCTGATCCGATGGCAGGAGCCAGGTGCTTCTCCTGGTCTCCCATGGGGTGCAGGGCCCAAGCACTTGGGCCATCCTCCACTGCACTCCCTGGCCACAGCAGAGAGCTGGCCTGGAAGAGGGGCAACCGGGACAGAATCCGGCGCCCCGACCAGGACTAGAACCCGGTGTGCCGGCGCCGCTAGGCGGAGGATTAGCCTAGTAAGCCGCGGCGCGGGCCAGGAGGCTGAAATTGCACACAGAGGAACCACTGACCACGGGCCACCAATGCCACTGCCAACCGGCTCCAAGAGTTGATGACAAAACCGTTCCAAGGCAAACAGATCTCAAATGCATGTAGATTTATGAGAAAGCTGGATTTTTTTTTTTTACCTCTTTTAAGGTACTCTGTGTTAAAAAAAAAAAAGTAGATATGTATACGAGGGCACTTCTAGAAGTCTGTGGAAAGAATGGGGTCAGAGGTAGGGTTCATTCTGCTGCAAAAACCTAAGTCCACGCCGAGTTTCTCATATGATTTTCCATGAGCTGCGTGTATTTTTATGCACGTGTACATGTACACCACCCACCCACATACAACCTCATAGGCTTTAGAATGGCTGTTACGGGAACCAAACAGAACAAGGTGACAAACGCGGCCAGGAGGCAGAGAAACTGGGAATGTAAAATCGGTGCAGTATCCTACACAAGTTCGGAGATTCTTCAAACAACAAAAGGCGGAACACCAACCACGTGACGCTGGAATTCCGGGGGTGGGGGGGGGTTACCCCAGGAAGCACAGCCAAACAAGTGCGTGGACGCGCCCTTGAGCGCCCTGTGTCTCGCAGCAGGATTCGCAATGGCCACAGGGTAGAAAGAACCCAGGTCCCAGGTCCCAGGAACGGGTTGACAGAACGCCGAACAGGTGGGGTCGTGCCATGGAGCGTTACTCAGCCCTCAAAAGGAGTGATGTTCTGACGCCTGCCACTGCGGGTGACCCCGGAGCTGCTACGTTATAGGAAATAAGTCAGACACGAAAGAACCCAGCCTGTGCAGCCCCCTCATGGGGACAGGAAGTAGAGTGGCAGTGGGGGTGGGGGAGGGCTTGCTTGATGAACAGTCTCAGTCTGGCAAGAGGAGAGAGCTCTGGGGATGGACGGTGGTGATGGCTGTATGGCAGGGTGGATGCACTAACGCCACTGAACCACACACCTTATTTATTTATTTGACAGGTAGAGTTACAGACAGTGAGAGAGAGAGAGACAGAGAGAAAAGTCTTCCTTCCATTGGTTCACTCCCCAAATGGCCGCTACGGCTGGTGCTGCACTGAGAGAAGCCAGGAGCCAGGTGCTTCCTCCTGGTCTCCCATGCGGGTGCAGGGCCCAAGCACCTGGGCCATCCTCCACTGCACTCCTGGGCCACAGCAGAGAGCTGGACTGGAAGAGGAGCAGCCGGGACTAGAACTCGGTGCCCATATAGAATGCCGGTGCTGCAGGCGGAGGATTAACCAAGTGAGCCACAGCGCCAGCCCCTGAACCACACACTTTAAATCAGTACACTTTATGTCATGTACATTGGATTATGGTCATACATAAACATCTTTGTGTACCTAATAGGAAGGGTGCTGTAAGTCCTTCAAGTTATGAAAATCCAGGATATCTTGTGAATCTGAATGCAAATTAGGAGGACGGGTAACTGAGCTCAGAAACGAAATTCAGCCTCACCATCCCAAAAGATCTCATTGGTCAGTGTGCTGACGACAGAGAAGCCGCTAGAATGAGGTTCCACGGGGCCAGCCAGAATAAGATGCCCACAGGGATGTCTCCTTGTTGCAGCAGCTCTGCCCTGTGCCCGCTGGGCAGAGGTAAGCGACACAGGATCTCCAGCCCCCGACTGGGAGCCTGGGACTCCTGGGTAAGCAAAGTGGAGCAGGCAAACCCTCATGTCCACCTCCCTCCACTGCCCAGCCTGCTGTGTGGGGTAGCAGGAGAGGATGGTGGGGACAGCGCCTCCTCACCGCCCACAGGAGAAAACAAAGTCGCCCAAAGCGTCAGAGCAGGTGCAGGCCATGCTCTCATGAGAATGGGGCCGGCACGTCCCCCACCTCACGCAGCTCAGGAAGGCCCCAAGGAGCACCTCCACCAGCAGACAGACACGAGGCTGCGCCCAGAGTGACCCACCCCCTGGGGAAGGCATGGCTCTCTCACAGTCTCGGGGAACCTGGGGAACACGAGCAGAAAAGCCACAGAATATGTGGACTCACAGCTTGGAACGCAAATGAGGACACACACGGCCCCCAGCGCTGGCCAGGGCGCTGCAGCTGCCGAGGCCACACTCCACAAGGACTGCCAACGCCGGCGCCTTTCCTGGCACACGCCAGAGCCAAAGGCTTTGTGGCTTTGAACTTGCCCCCACGTTCTGGTCTGGCAACCCCAGCGAGAGGAAGATCCTCCAGCAGCCGATTCACTGAGCAAAGCGATAAAGCAGACCTTGCTCATTGGCAAGAAAAAAAAATTGGGGGGTATTCAAACTAATGAGCGCAGCCCAGGTGTTGAGTTCACTACGGCAGTGGTGGCGGCGGACTTATGCAGGGGCACACGTGGTCAGGCACACTGTCCACCCTGCAGAAGCCTCCCTGCTGGCTGGGCCTGCGGCAAGGGGCCCAACGCCCCCCTCTAACCACGCAAGGGTACCACAGGACCCCCTACCTGCCAGGCAATCAGGTCCTTGAGCTTCTCGATCTGTTCATGGGCCTCGGCGTGCTCCTGCAGGTACCGCTCGGTGAAGAAGGCCTGCGGGAGACGGAGCACCTCAGCACACCTGCTCATCCAAGAGGGATGCACCAGGTCCCGGGAACAGCCCCATGTAAACAGACCCTTACCCTCGCCTGTGCAGAGCTCACCCCAGACCCAGGTCAAAACGTGCAGTGGCGACAAACACCACACAATGGAGCTGCCCCCCGAATCCTTGGAGCCCAGCAGAGCCAGCCCTCCCGGCTGCTCATACGCCCAGGACTCCCAGCCTGAACCTGCCCTGGGCCCGACCCACACCTGAAGGCAGCAGCCTGCTCTGTCCAGGGTGAATGACCCCTCCCTGGTACCAGTGCCCCCCTTCTATCTAACATTTGGATTCTTTCCTGTTTCTCTCCAACTGTTATCTCTTGGCACGCAACGATCCCAGGCCCCCTGAAAGCCTCCTGGGGTGCACTCTCCAGGGGCCTCTGGCCATCTGAGGATGCCCAGGGAGCTGAGCCGGGGTCAGGCTCTGCTGTTCCTGCAGCGGCTGCCTCTGGGTGCACCTGCCTGGCCTTGGCCCTGTCACTGCTCACTGCTCAGTGAGACCGGGATCAGTGCTGCACTTGGGAGACAGTGTCTGGAGCTTCCAGCCTATCCTGGGTGGGGCCGAAGGAGCAAACGGGCACGTCACATGCCTTCTCATAGTTTGCAAAGCCCCCCATGACGGCGGGGTCCACGATGCCGTTCAGGAGCATGGACAGGGGGTTGATGGGCAGGCTGGGGTCGTCCAGGTGCTGCTGCACCATGCTGTTGATCTTGTCGTTGGTCAGCTGCATGGTTTCGATGGCATTCTCCAGGGGGCTGATTTCCACCTGCAAGGGGGAGAAGACGACCCCAGGTCAGCCCAGCTGCTGTGCCCGCAGCCGGGGTCCTCGGCTGGGGTAGCTCCCGGGTCCTCGCCAGAGGGCAGCATGCCAGGACAGGGCCTGCTCCTCAGGTCCCCGTGCACCTTTCTCCCCCACAGATACTTTGGGTCTGACCACTTCGGCCCCAGCCAAGGGCAGTGGCATCTTGTTTTTATTTATTTATTTTTTGACAGGCAGAGTGGACAGTGAGAGAGAGAGACAGAGAGAAAGGTCTTCCTTTTGCCGTTGGTTCACCCCCCAATGGCCGCCGCGGCCGGCGCACTGCGCTGATCGGATGGCAGGAGCCAGGTGCTTCTCCTGGTCTCCCGTGGGGTGCAGGGCCCAAGCACTTGGGCCATCCTCGGCCAGTGGCATCTTGTATCACTGCTTGTTTCCCTAGACAGAGATCTCACATGAAAATCTCAAAAGGACAAGAGAAGCCAAGCCGCTCAGCTCTGGGGGTGTGTGTGTGTGCTTACACACACGTGTGCAAGCATGCGTGTGTGAGGTCATCTGAGAACACGCAGCTTGGAGTGGTGTCTATTCACAGAGGACTCAGCCACACTCCTGGTCCCTGCTTGTCTGAGAGCGAAGACTGCAGGGAGCTCAGGAACGCTGCGGCAGCCCTGATCAGGGACACGGCCACGAGGCGCCCCCTCACTCCCGACACAATCTCCCAGGCTGCCAGGGAGCCCCTTGGGGCAGGCGGCAGGAGGCAGGGGGAGCAGCCACTCGCCCCCAGCCTCCGGGGCCCTGCTAGGCTCAGCGTTTCGGTGTCTCGAGGACACAGCCATGTCTGCAGCAGGGACCACACCTCCCGCTGGGCTCGTGCGCGGACCCACTGCCTCCCCTGAGGCTGGGCCACAGAGATTGCGTCGGGGGTGACCTCAACAGTGCTCTGACCCTCCCACAGAGGCGAGATGGGCCCCACCCCTGCCCAGGAACCCCGGGCCTCCTGCTTGCTTCTTGCTCTGAGCAGAGCCCCAGGAGTGACGTCTTTGGTGGCTGGGAGGGGCACTGTCCAGAGGCTTTTGCAGGCCGTGGGGCTGATGGAGGGACGGTGTGGAGGGTCCTGATGTAGAAAAGTGGTCAACCAGGTGCACACGGCTGAGCTGCCCCTTGGTTGTGCCCTAAACGACACGTGTTCCAGGAACGCCACCCTCACCCTGTGCCCGGCTCCGATGGCCTCTGGAACGGAGCGTCCCCGGCTCACGCCCCCCAAGCACGGACTCCCAGTGGCTGAACTCTTTGGCTTCAGGAGAGAACTGTTTCTTATTTCTAATCAAACAAACAGGGCTTGCTGCTGCCCCCAAGATACCCCAAGGGCACCGGTCCCAGTAGACGCGGCAGGATGCAGCCATGCCGCTCTGGGCTGGCCAGGTGTCCAGTTCCGAAAGGCCAAGGCAGCTGGGGAAGAACTGTGAGCTCTTGAAGGGTCAGGGCTGCCCCATCCCAGGCCCAGAGGCTCATGGGAGCGAGTCCACTGCTGAGGCTGCTTACGTGGACTGGTGTGTCCATGGGAACAGCCTGCTCCTGGCCCTCCCAACTGCCCCAGCACTGGACACACGACCTCCTAAGCCTCCCACCTGCCAGGTGCTGCAGGGGCCTCTGTGGGCACAGACACTGCACCCCCGGGGGACAGAGCGGAAGTGGCCCCAGGCATGGGCAGAGAGAGCCCTTCGGACTCTGAGGAGGCGGCTTTGTGGGTAGGGGTCTGGCAGAGCTAGGGAAAGGCTCATGGAGTAGCCCGGAGCTCGGCCCCATGGGCAAGGGACAAGAGGGGTGGGACCAGCCCAGTCCTAGCACCGAGTCCTTGCGAGGCTCGGGCATTTGGTGGAGACTGAGAGGCAAGTGCACCCCTCTTGGGATGGGTCCCACCGGGAGGAAGGGAAAGGCACCAGGCCCCACACACAGGAACGCACATCTTGCAACTGGATCTTTCGAGAGCAGAAACCGCCAAGCCCTGCATCCCCGCGCAGTCTGCCGCGCAGCTCGGGAGACACAGCTGCCGGGGGCCGCTGTCTGCGCGAGCCTACGGAACCCTGTCCCACAGCACAGGGATCCGGCCACGGGACGCGGCAGGAATCGCAGTGGCTTTCAGAAAGACCGGGGGTGGGGGATGGGGGGGATGTTCTCGGGCCCTTTCCACGGCAAGTGAGCAGGCACCGTCGTGTAAAAGGCAATAAAACCACAGGAAGATCTTTCGGAGGGTTTACGTAAATCAGGACTTGTCTTAAACTCCTCATTTAGCTGTTGGAGAGAACTGTCAAAACAGCACAGTGACGGCTGTGTTTCCACGTCTGAGGGAAGGAAGTCTCAGCTCGGCTTCCTCCTAGGCTGTGGCCGTTGGGATAACGTGGCATTTGTGTTCCATGCTAGGGGCAGGGCGATCGTGTGTCCTGTAGGGCCCGCGCAGCGCAGGCTGGTCACAGGAACACTGGGGGGTGCCTGGTCGCAGGGGTGGGGCTACCTCAGGGAAGGAGACATCCTTACCATGAAAACGGATTTGACCTCAAACCAGCGTAAAATTCCAGGCAGTTTATAGGCGGTTGTGTAGATGGTCCTCTCGATCCACATGTTCTGCAGGGGGACACACAAGACACTTGTCAGGAGCAGGGGGGGGGCCTTGCCTGTGCGCAGCGTGCCAGGGTGTGTGCCGAGGTAGCACTTCCCAGGCCCCCCGTTTAACGGTCCCACAGGACACACCAAAGGCTCCGTATCTCCTGACCGTGGCCACCTCCCTGGTGTGTGGCACAGGAATATGAAAGGTGGGTGGGGAGGCTGTCCGTGCCTCAAGGAGCAGGCTTCTTGTGAGCACTTGGATTTCGGGGAGAGGCTGAGCCTTTGTGTGTGTTCCAACACTCACAGGTGCGGGACCGCTCACGTGTCAATAAAGTCAGCGTTTTTAGCTTAAAATTGCTTTACGTAACTAATGTGCGTTTCTACCAGGACATAAAGATACAAGAAGAGAAGGAAATAAAATTACCCACTATTGGGTATATAATTCTCTATTGCTCAAGGCTTCTTACTATTTAAAAGTGGGTGCATGAATATTTTCAATAAAAACACCACTTGGTAATTCGTATGCTGTTAAAGAGCACGTCCCCTACTGCAGGAAATTGTTTCAAGGCAGAAACACAAGTTCACCATCAGTGAAGGCTGCACAGGACTCCGCTGTAGGGGCCACACCCTAACTCCTTCCCAGCCCCGCCTTCATGCACGGCCTTGCCCTTGACTTCGTCCTGCCATTCCAACGCTCCCCGTAACGCCAGCTCCCGGGGCGGCCGGGCTCACCAGTAGTCATCCAGGCATTGGAGATGGGGCAATGGAACTCCAACAGTTCCAGAAAACGGGCCTGGCTCTTCAAACACATTTATCCCAAACCCCCGAGATTCCAAGCGGGTCCAGCCGGACATCTGGCCAGGCCCCATGGGGATGGCTTGTCCAGGCACTGCCTTAGACCACAGCTCCGGTGCTTTCTGTCTCAGCCACCCTGGGAGGGGCCTCTGGGTTTCCTCGTGGGCTTCAGGGGCCACTTCCAGCAGCACAGACCCTGTCTCTGTCTCCCTCCTCCTCTCCGGCCCTGGATCCCTTTAACCAGGGCTGGAGGCCCTGAGAGCCACAGTTAGCCCCTGCCTGGTGGGTAGCACCCGCAGCCCCCTGCCCTTGGGGGCCAGAGCCTGGTTTCCCAATCCTGCCACCCCGGCCCCTGCCCCCTCTTTCTGGAATCCTGAGGCTTTGTCAGGCGTGTGAGGGCTAAATCCCGTGGCCTCTGAGCACTTCATCCGTGTGTAAGGACCTAAACGGGGCCATCAGGGGATTCCAGGGCCAGAGAGAAGCACAGAGCCTCTGAGGCTTAGCCCAGCTCCAAATGTCAGGAGTCGAGGTTATTCTTAGCTCGGCGCCCGGCTGGCGACGCAGCCTGCGGCAATGCACTTGACCCCCTTGTGTCTACTCCTTTACGGCATGAGACCATCTATCCTTGCCAGATGGGAGCTATGCGAGGGACATCCCAGAGCTGCCTGGGAACCGTTCTTGGCACGGCATCCCAGGCGGTGCCGAGGCTGTGTGCTCTGTTCAGATGACCCTGCAGGGACCAGCAGGAAATAAGGTGTTGGTCCGAACACCACCAGCAAGTTACAACCACAGGAGGCTTTGGAATTCACCTGGCTGCAAGCTCTCTCCCCGACACAGGAGGAAACCAGGCTCAGGGCAGAGGGGCCTTCCCTGAATGGGCCTCCAGGATCAGGAAGGAGCCCGAGGAGCTGCATAGGGAGGAGGCTCCCTGTTGGAGGTGCTAATTTACCTTTGACGCCCCACACCCCCCACACCCAAGAGGAAGCCATTCCTAGGGTCCCTGGGGCAAATGTCCTCTTGCACATGGGCCTGGAGAGGGGCCCTGGGGGAGGCTGACAGGCAAGAGGGGGAGACATGTAAGGTCTTCAAGTCCTCTGGCTGACCCGATGCCTTTTAAACCTGGAATCCAGTAAACCAGCTCATATGCGTAGTTCTTAAGGGTATGAGGATCAGCATTAATACTTCCGTGATTCTGTAACAACGGACACTTGGCAGTGCCTGGGGCCCTTTTTGTTGGGTTGTGACAACTGGGGAGGTGGTACAGGCATGCGGTGGAGGGGGGGTGAAGCTGTACAGGACAAGGACACTGAGGCTGCCCCGCGCCAGCCTTCGAGACCACACTTCTCCCCAGGCACCCTTCTGGGTGGCGGGATGAGGTTTCTTAGGGTGGGTGTTTGCTATTTACTTATTTATTAATTACCGCGAATTCGTTGTCTGGGTTTTTCTCTCCCTTCCGGATGGGCCGAGAATACTCGAATCGCTGGACCTCATTCACCCTGTAAAAGCTAGGCAGAGACAGACGGATCCTTAGACGCCTAACGCAGAAAACAGCCGGTCTGCTTTCAGACACAGGGTCTGGCCTCGGAGCACGGCAGCCACTGCAGCCCAGAAAGCCTCCCCCAACCTTGACCTGAAGCCGCCTTGGAAGGGACACGTTGGCAGGTGGACAAATTGAGTTTTGCCTCCTCCTTGTCCCTGCCGGCCCTCAGGGGAGAAGATGCCGAGTAGGAGTGAAATGGGCAAAAACAGGGAAAAGGTGAAGTGAAGGGGATGACAGAAAAGGCCTGAGTATTTAACTGACGGGGTTGCCACCGAGAAAATTTAAGGAGTGATTTATCCTTTTAGCTCAATAATTTAATGATTTATTTACACAGTTTAATTTAGTATTTAAATTTTTAAACATTGTATGTGTTTATTATTTTCAAAGGGCATGTTTTAGTTTCAGATCCACAAAATACAAGTTTTGCAACTACCCAGGGCGGCAGGCATGGGACACTGACAGCCTCCTCCCTCGTGGGAGGGGGCTGCAGATGCCAGCGGCAGGTGCAGGAGGCCGACCTCTGTGGCTCCCACATCCGAGGGATTTACCTCCACAGACTCTGAGGTTCACTCTCTGCTTCATGCCTCTCTCTGAGGAAACGAATGTTGCAGACCTTAAAATGCACGCTTTCTGAAAGCAATCATTCGTAAGTAAACAGAGGCCCAGTTTTTCTGCCATTAGCACTACTGAAAGGTCCAAGAAATGAAGGAGGGTTCAAGGAAGCACGGAACGTCACGAGGCAAACAAGCAGATCCGAGGAGCACCGGGCCATCCGAGAGGCTAACTCTCTTTCTCCACAAGAACATGGATCACATACAAAAGAAAATTCTGAACATCAAAGAGGCATCTGCTACAGCAGGTGTTCCTACACCACGGCTGCGTCAGGTGCAGTTCGGCTGGAAGGCGTAAGATCTCTGCCCATTTAGACAGTCGACGCGCGAGGTCTGGAAAGCGCCTGGTAATCCCACGTTACATAACTGTGGCGACTGCCATGCCGCGGGACGAGGGGCTCCTGCTGCACGTGTGGCGCCGGCAGCAAACCTTCAGCCCCCCAACCCGGTGAACCTCAAACACCTGACCCGCACCGCGGGTCTCCCTCAGACTGGTGTGGGCGAGGCTGGGGAGGGGCTGCAGAGCTCCAGCGCAGACCCCCCCTCACGGGACGGACATCCGAGAAAACGGGCTGCCGTCTCCTCTCTCTCCGACCCCCGGGGCCCCCTCCCTTGGACCACGGCAAGGGAATGTGCACCCCCTGGTGCTCTGGGTGCAGCAGGAAGATGCCACTTGCGATGCCTGGGTTCTCTCTGCACCCCAGCTTCTTGCTAAAGTGCACTCTGAGAGGCAGCAGGTGATGCTCAGGGGCTGCAGCCCTGCCCCCACATGGGAGCCCTGCACTGAGTCCAGGGTTCCTGGCTTCGGCCTCACCCAGCCCCAGCGGTTGCAGGTGTTTGAGGAGTGAACCAGTGCATGGAAGCTGTGTCTGTCTTTCAAATAAATGAAAATAAATTTACAGCCCCACATCTTCCTCCTGTACGTCGTTGGGTGGGGTGTGTGTGTGGGGGGAGAATTAGCTGTTTCCACTCTTCAAAAGGGAAGGAGAGGGTGTCTGGGAAGCTCACAAGAGGCTAAAACGCATCTTCAAGGCACGGAGCGGGCAGCGCCTCGGGCTGGGGCGAGGGTGGCAGGCGTTACCTGACGATCTGCTCGGACACGGGCCTGTGAAATTTCAGGGGCAGGTCGAGCTTGGGCTTCACCGTGAAGCACTGAATGTCTGAGGGGTCGGGGGTTAAGGGTCAGCACAGCAGCGTGGACGTGAGCCCTGGGAGAAGACCCCCCCAGGCACGGGCAACCACCCCGAGGGACGGCTTCCACGGGGCGCGGGGCTAAAGGATACGCTGTCCGGGGGAGTTTTTGATGTCGTCGCCGGGGGGAGACGTCGTCTTCATCTTCTCGGCGTTTGGAAACTGAGTCAGCAGCCGTGCTTCGAAGTCCTCCCGGCGTTCGTACTCTTTCCCTCGGTAAATGAAGACTTTTCCCTGGAAACAGCGGCACTCGCTAAAGCAGCACCTCGGGGCGGGGCCAGGGAAGGCTGGCAGGCCACGGCTCTGGGGCGAGCCTGACCGCTTAAAGAGTACGCGAGGGAAGTGAAGGGCGACTTGTGGCACATCGGGGTGAGGAACCAGGAAGCCACGGCCACCAGCCCCGCGCGCACGCTGCGGAAGCAGCACCCGAGTCGTCTGGTCTGCTCCCGTCTTCCCAGTAAAACCCAGTACAGAGGCTGTGAGACAGCACGTGGCACCCGGAGACCCACGCTGTCTACTAGCAGGAGAAAGCAAGCGGTTGCCAGGGCAGGCGGAGAATGATGACTTTATTCTCTAGGCAGGCCCTGATTAAGTACTTCTCACTCTGCCAAAAGGAATTTAAGACAGAAGAGATTCAGCTGGGGCCCAGAACCTGAGCACGGCCACCCTGAGCAGGCTTCTGTGAGACACACACAAGAGACCCACAGGGCCGCGGGAAGGGGGAGCCGGACCCAAGCAGGCAAGGCCGGGCCCTCGGCCTGCCCTGCTGGACGGATGGCGGTGGGGCTTTCTCAGGCATTCACAGTGGCTGTGCTGATGCTAACACACACAAGGCTCTTCTAAGGGCTGGGTTTTGTCCGTCGCAGATGACACGTTTGTCCCTCCAAAGGGGTGGTTCAACCAGGCTGGGCTTGGTAATGCTGCAGGCAGCAGGGGTCAGAGTTCCTCCTGACCATGGGCTGACTATGGAGGCCGTGTCCACCCGGGGCGTGGCACAGCCACGCGGTAAGCCTGCCAGTTAGGAAAGGCCCCTTCCTGCAAGGGGGCTCCATCCACGCAGGGGTTTGCCCACTGTGGTCACAGAAAAGAGGCAGTGGGTCAGCAGGGGGACAAACGCCTCTGCCTCTCCTGCCTACCCCCAGGGCTGTGTCAGGCCAGATGCAAACTTCGGCAAAGACAGGGAGCAGACGGCACAAGGGCAGATTCCACAGAGCCTGCAAGGTCGGACTGTACCGGGCACCCTCATTTAGGGAGCACTGGCTGACTGTCTTCAGATTGGCAGGTCACAAGACAGGTGCAGCCCTGCCATAGCCGTAGCAACCCCTGGACAGAAGCTGGAGTCAAAGAGGGCAACAGGGCTGGCGCCACGGCTCACTAGGCTAATCCTCCGCCTGCGGCACTGGCACCCTGGGTTCTAGTCCCAGTCGGGGAGCCGGATTCTGTCCCAGTTGCTCCTCTTCCAGTCCAGCTCTCTGCTGTGGCCCGGGAGGGCAGTGGAGGATGGCCCAGGTCCTTGGGCTCTGCACCTGCCTGGGAGACCAGGAGGAAGCACCTGGCTCCTGGTTTCGGATCGGCATAGCATGCCGGCCGGAGTGGCCATTTTGGGGGTGAACCAATGGAAGGAAGACCTTTCTCTCTCTCTCACTGTCTAACTCTGACTGTCAAAAAAAAAAAAAAAAAAAAAAAAAGAGGGCAACAGACATGGAGGGAACAGGGTTTCACTGTGCACATTTTCCCAACCATCTTCTAAAGACTTAGCTTGAAGTCAAATACAATTTTGTTAAATCAACGGATTTTCAACAAGCAAGAGAGATCCTACGGTGCTCAGCTGATGATCCTTGCTGTGGTCTGTAAGCTGTGTCCTTCCAGAAGTCATGCACACAGAGGCCTCATCACCATGGGGACGGCGCTAGAAGGCGGGGCCTTTCCTGGTGGCCAGGTCACGAGGGCCCCAGGCAGCTCTCTCCCCTTCCGCCCCCGGGGACGCACAGCAAGCAGCAGCCACAAGGCCCAGGCCCACACCAGGCGACACGCTGAATCTGATGGTGCCTGGGTCTCGGGCTTCCAGCCTCCAGAACTATGAGCAATAGACGTGCACTGGCCACAAGTCAGCCAGCCGCAGCCGCTTCTCGGGACAGCCGGACAGGCTGGGACCAGCCATAGGTGCTTCTCGGGGCAGCCCAGACAGGCTGGGACCAGCCATAGGTGCTTCTCAAGGCAGCCCAGACAGGCTGGGACCAGCCATAAGTGCTTCTCGGGGCAGCCCGGACAGGCTGGGACCATGCCTCGCCGAGTCCCAGCTCGCTCTGCGTTCTGATAAATCACTACTGAAGACACAGTTTAAGAACTGAATGTTTTTTTCACTGTGTATTTAGTTCTGTCTTAAAGTACCATTATGGAAGATAAATGTTCTATTTCTTTGAAGTAATGTCGGGCAGAAACCAAAGTAATATGTAGTCTTAATTAGAAATATAAATACATAGTATGGGTACCTTATAAGGCTATATAGAGCCAGAGATTCCAGACATTCAGCAATATTTAATACATAAAAGACTACCATGGAACTACCATTTATTATGCTTTAGACTGGAAGCAAGGCACCGTCATAAAAATGTATATAAAGGCTTGAATAGAAAAACACTGGTGAGATAGATGGAAACACTAATAACATTTTCTAGAAATGGCAATTACTTTGCATTCTGGAGTAGTCCCTTCAAACATGAAAACAAGTGGTTAATGTACATAGACAAAGATATTTATTCCTTGTAAGGACTATAAATATGAATATGGATGCATAAAACAAGGAGATCAATTTTTAGAGAAAAACAAGGCGAAAGGGACAGCCAGGCAGTTCTCAGAGGCCATTCTGCGGGCCAAACATGCTGCCTACTTCTTGGTAAAGGCCAATGTCATGGTCAGACTGTCCCCTGCCAGGCGACCTGCGAAGCGTGGCAAATATATTGCTACAGCCCCAAAAACGACTCAGGTGTGGCGGGAAAGTCAGCTCAGTATTAATCAAGCTCACCGGCTCCACTCCTGCTTTGAGTTTTGTCCTTTGATGGTAGGGGAACCCAGCCCTGTCCCTGGCCCTGCAGCCCAGGTGAGGCCCAGCCCGACCTGGAGGCCACAGGCTCTAGTGCCCAGCACTCCTCACCCCTGCAGCCTCCCATGCCCCTCCAGCCCTACACTGCCCCAGCGCTGAGTGAGGATCACTCCCACAGACCCGCGTTGGGTGCCCATCCACCATCCACACAGGCCACACACACTCTGGGCCAGCCCCGCCCAGCCCCCCAGCCCAGTGTGAGCTCTGCACACACAGGTCCACCAGTCAAAGCCCCTGCAGCACTAAGCAATGTCAGCCCTGAGCTTAATCCATCCGTCAGCTTTTTTTTTTTTTTTAACCTAGAACAAACTTTATTTTTCAAATTCCTCTCTAATTTTGAGCTGTCACTAAACAGCCTTTATCCACTCCAGGCATTGGAAGACCCGTGTCAGACTCTGGGTTCTGACCGGCTGCCATCTTAGCTGAGCAGTGACGGCCACAGCAGAGGTGGGCCAGCAGTGATGGGGACAGGGCAGGGGCCTCTATCACCCGTGCAGGACACGGAGGGAGAAGGCCAAGCAAGCTCCCTGTGGGTAGCTGGCCAGGGCTGCACAGTCGCTCACAAACAGGGACACATCCTCATCTGTGGACGAAGTGGGTAGGGGTGGGGCTGCTGTGAATGAAACCAGCCAGGCACAGACAGACAAGCACGACACATCCTTACTCTTTCGTGGAAGTAAAACCACTGACCCCATAGGGGTGCAGGGTAGAGCAGCAGTCCCCAGAGGGTGTGGAAGGGAGAGGGTAGGGACAGGGAGACGACGGGTACCAGAACCAGAACCCAGCCGGGCAGGAGGGGTACCATCCAGCTTCCGACAGCACAGGAGGTGACTGTGGTCTACAAGTATTTCATACACTCACATATTATAAAGAGCTACAAGAGTTCAGAGTTACCCAGCGATAACTGTCTCCGGAGACAGAAACGCCGGTGACCCTGCTCTGGTCACTGTGCAAGCCTGTTAAACTGTCACACTGTACCCCACACATTCGTACAGTTTCTACGAGCCAATAACATCCAGCAAAAACAGTAGCTCCTCAATAAGCAGAAAGCTGTGCTGGCAGAGCCGGGCTTGGATCCCTGAACGCTCGGTGACTCCTGCGGACAGAAGCACAGGGGCTGCCGGCGCACTCCTCGGGCAGCGCTCAGGCTCCCAAGCAGGTGCAGCACGGAGCTTCTGCTGCTAAGGCCAGAGGCATCCCACGGGGCCTCCCGGAACAAGAGCCACCCTTCGTGAAAAGTGTCGCAAGGAAGGACACGGAGTCCCGACCCGCTGGGTAGCGGCGTCCGGGTGTGTTTCCTGCTGTCAGGCCAACAGCACTCACTACACACTTCTCCCCCGGGCTCCCCGGAATATCAGGCGTGTGGCCCCGCGATCCTGGCTGCAGCTTCCATCCAGGGTCAAACAGTGCATGCCTGTCCCACGGAAGGCACATGGCACAGAATGTCCAGCAATGTGGCCTTGAAAACCCATTTCCCGTCCCTCATAAAACTAAAAGCACACACGTTCACGGCAGCACCACTCACAGCTGCCAAAGAGTAGAACCCTCCCGAATGTTCACACGGGGGCGCAGGCAGCAGCAAGACGAGGTCTCGCCGCACGATGGAGGGTCAGCCTTAAGGAGCGGCGTTCTGACATGTGCCAACACGTGTCCCTTGAGGACAGCGTGCTGAGCGAAACGAGCCCGGCAGGAAAGGACAAACACTTGGGATTCGAGCCGTCATAGTCACAGGAATCAGAACAGCAGGTGCCAGGGCTGGACTCAGGGGAGCGTGGCAAGTTGTGATTTAATGGATAACATTAAGTGTTCCCGGGAGCAAGACGGAAGGTTCTGGAGGTGGATGGGGTGATGGGTGCATAGCAATGCGAGTGTGTTCAATGCCACCGGACAGCTAACAATGGTTAACTTGGCAAACTTTGCGTGATGCAAATTTAACACAATTTTAAAAACACATAAAGCTTTGAAGGTGAGTTCTTCTTAGAAAGAACAATCAGAGAAGACATTCCCAGCCCGTCTCTGCTCCGCACACCAACCACAGAGCCGTGTGTGCACAGAGCAGGAGCCAGCGCCGAGCCAAGTTCCCAGCCTTCCCCAGGATGGGCGGGCAGGCAGGAACCGCGCCTCGATCGCGGAGGGTCACACTTACCCGAAGGAACGTGGGGAAGCCCTGCCCGTAGTAGCCAACGGCAAAGTAATCAGGCTTGGGTCTTATCACCTTGACGATGTTTTCGTAAAACTGAGCCTGCTTTTTCTGGAAGGAAGGAAGCAAACGCATTTCAGGTCCGGGGAGAGTCCGGGCGTCCCTTCCCTCTGCTTTCTTCCCACGGGCTGCTGAGCGTGGTCAGCTCTCACGGGCTGGGAGCAGAGGTGCTGGGGCCGCACCCTCGCTCCGTCTCACTGCGTGGCTGGGATGTTATTTTTCTCTCATCCTGTATTATTCATCAAGGGATGCTGAATAAAGAAGCCAAACCGGTCTTGATTTACTGAGTGTTTTCATAACCAAAGAGGCACCACAGGAGTGGCTTCTAGGTTAAATGTCCAGCTCTTCATAGTTTTAAAATGCTGTGGGTCAGACACCGAGAGACAGTCAAGTGGAATACACAAGAGGTGAAAGACCCTGCTCCCAGTTAGCAACAGGCATGGTGGCCCCACCAAGGCCATCTACAAGCTACACAACGAGGCAGCCATAAGGGGGGTCAGTGGAAATCCTCAGGGCTCCTGGGGTAGAAGAAAGGCGTGGTTGCCACTCACCCACCACCCTGTTTGCCAGTGGCCACAGTTTTAAACTGGAGAGCCCTGGGCTCTCGAGACCACTACACACACACACACACACACGAGGTCAGCAACTACTTATGCACAAAGCATTCACAGGTGTCACCAGCACGGCTGTAAGAGCTGACTTAGCCTTAAGAAGTCAACCTTCATCGTCAGTTGAGCCACTTTCCCGGATGACACAGACATCCAGGTCCAGGGCCTACGGACGCCTGGCTGAATCCCAGCCTTCAAATGGGAGAAGATTCCAGAAGCAGCAGCCCTCGCAGCCCGGGTTCATTTCACGGGAAGCCACGGAGACCTACCAGCAACTCGCTGAGCTGTTCGTAATCAAACATCTCGGTTTCGTACTGCTCCGCCAGCTCCTTGCCCAAGGCAATGGCCTCTTCCCACATCTGAAAGGGAAAAGGAGGAGGAGCAGACACGCCGCGTCAGGCGAGGAGCCACACCGTGAGGCCACCGCTCGCCAGAACAGCCTGGCCGCACGCTGCTAACTCAAACGCACGGAGATTCTGCTGCAGCAGCACCCTTTGCTGTGTGGCGATGCTGGCTACAGAAACCGTCCAACCCCTGTCTCATCATCACGCCGGCTTCTGCCCGCAGCCAGGGCCGTCGGTCAGCCGTCCCCGCCGGCTCCTGTGCGCCTTCTGCTGTCAGCTGTGGCTGCTGGTGACCATCTTTCAGAGCCGCCCTGGGGCCAGCGCAAAGGATGCACAGGGCGCAGGGAGGTGGTGGGGAGCGGGCGCGTGACCATCAGGGCCCTGGGTTGGAGATCTGCTCACATCACGCCACTCAACAAAGGCTGCATGGAAAACCATCAGCTGTCGAAAAACCAGGAGATATTTCAAGTCTAAATTAACACTTGCGTAAAAGTTTGCTTTGTAAGTGCAAGTATCGTGTGGTGGGTACGAGGACTGCCGTCATTTTGAACAGGGGGAGCTTTGCAGGGTAAATAGCTTGAAAGTGCCTTTCCAGGCAACTGACATTTTTTCATTTTTCATTTTAATTACTTTGTGACTGATTCAATATGGTTTGTAGATACAGGTCTAAGAACAAAATGATATCTGCTCCCTTCCTCCCACCCTCCTTCCTTCTACTTTTTTTTTTTTTGAGATAATATGTTTAAACTTGTATTACAGGACCGGGGCTGTGGCATGGTGGGTAAAGCTGCCATCTGCAGTGCTGCCATCCCATATGGGCACTGGTTCAATTCCCAGCTGCTCCATTTCTGATCCAGCTCTCTGCTGTGGCCTGGGAAAGCAGTAGAGGATGGCCCAAGTCCTTGGGCCCCTGCACCCACGTGGGAGACCAGGAAAAAACTCCTGGCTCCTGGCTTTAGATAGGCGCAGCTCCGGCCGTTGCAGCCAACTGGGGAGTGAACCATTGGATGGAAGACCTCTCTCTCTCTCTGCCTCTCCTTCTTTCTCTGTGTAACTCAAATAAACACATCTTTAAAAAATAAGCTTCTATTACAGTAAAAAGGCTTAATAAGTAACTGACTTATTAAAATGTGGGTCCACTTCTGGCACATGCAGAACACCTAAGGAGATGAAGTCGACCTGCATTCCCTTCATCTTTGGGTAAAAGAAAGCAGATTTCTTGAGAAGCAGATGGACAATCCAGAGGAATCCCCTTCCAGGAAGCCCTCCAGGGTACCAACCACTCTCCTACCCGCACCCTCACAAGGACCCAGCACCTCAGAGCCTGACACTGGGATGCCCTGTCTCTCCTTGTCAGAGACAAGAAGCCCTCTGAGGGCAACAGCTGGGTGCCGAGTGACCCTAAAAACCTCTGCACCCAAGCCTGGGCCTGGCTGGCAGAGAACAGAACTCGAGCTGGCTACCCTGAGGTCAGTACACCTGCATGCAGGTATGGAAACGCCACCCCGGAGCCCACAAATACCCATGATTCCTGTTACTAAAGGTGTCTACCACTCCCGACTGCATCGCCATCCTCCCAGCCACGCACCAGCTGCTTCCGCATGGCCATGGTTCCCCTGTGACAGATGTGCTGGGGGTGGGGCTACCCACTTCGCCATCCGTGGACCCCATGCCCTGCTGGCACCCAGGGTCACACCTGCCCCCCGCTGTGAGAGTGGGAGACACTTAACAATTTCCCACTTTTTCGAGCTTTCCCTACGTCCGGCTGCCTGTGTTCTCTTGTTAATGCCTGTCCATCACTGCCAACCGCGTCGTAGGCGGCTACCTTTATGATGCCCACGATGCAGATATGGAAGGGGGTGAGCACACAGGCGAAGTAACCTGCCCAAGGGCCCAGTGTGGGTTTTCTCCAGTGTTCCAGCTGTCTCTGCCGTCTCCGGCTGGCTTGGAGTCTTCTAAAACTCCAAGCTGGTCCTTAACTCTGGGTTCCCGCTGGGGACACACCCTCTGGTCACTGTGGGCCCAGAGCCCCCACCGGGCGCTGTGTCCATCATTTCTGGTTGGCAGGATCCTAGGCAAGGCCTCCCTTATCACTCAGGCACCCAACAGGCGCGGGAACAGCGTTCCACCTAAATGCTGCAAAGTGTGACATGCTCACCACGGCTCCTACGTGAAGAAACCACTTCTTGTTTTTGATGAGAAAGAGGTTTCTTTTTAGAATAACAGCTGAGTTTTAATACCTTGGAAGACAGAAGCAAGAGATCAGAGACGGGAGGCGGGGGCCGGGGGCCGGGGCATCTTGCCTTGGGTCCTCACGCACCTCTTCCCTTCCCAGGGCCCCCGCCTGCCTCTCTGGTTCTGTCAAGGCCTTGGCATTTTCCCAGCTTCTCCAGACCTTTCTGGTGCTCTTCCCAGAGCCCGAGTTCACATTCCGGGAAGAACTCTCACTTTTATGTTTCTTTTAAGCTGCAGTGACCAGTTCCTCCCTCAGCTGATTTCCATTTCAAAGACAGCATCACCTTCCCTCCCAGGTCTCCATCAGCGTGTTTTTCTTTAGGTTCCTGCAGGCTACGCCACATTCTCTCAGCTGCCTGTAGTGTTAGGGCTTCTAATCTATTCTGGAGTAAGAGCTTAAGCTCTCTTTATCCTGAATGACACCTGACATGCTTTAGATACACATGGAAAATAATTGGCTTGAAAAGAAATCTAGGTCTTGAGTAAATAAGCCGACTGGCCCTCAGCTGGCCTGGTCGTGTTCACTGTCAGATTTCCTATAAATAAGTACCCCCCTCTGGTCCGTTCCCCTCAGTCCTTTTTAGATGATTTTTTGCATTGAGATTTCCACTACTTATAATTGGGTGGGGCCCTAAAGGGAGTGTGGCTCTCACTTCCAGTGTGAACACCTCGGGACATATCCCAGCGCCAGAGATGGTGCAGACTCCGTGTGACCCAGGCTCGCCTCAGCCCTGTGGTTGGCCTCCCTGGCTGGGCTGCGTTCTTGGACGCGCGGTGCATGGCGGGGAAAGGCCCGAATTGTTAGGTAGGAAGTCAGTTATGAGCTTATGTGTGTGTGACATAAAGGCCTAAAGAGAAGACTATGTCCAGCACACGTTGCATCTCAAAGTCATCCTGATGGTGTTTCAGGGGCAGCCCGGTATTCACATCCTGCCCTGCCCTGCCCCCTCTACCAGATAACCTGCCAGGTGGGGGTCCCCACCCCTTCTGCCTGACAATCTTCCACAATCTCCCAGGGGCAGCCCAGTATCTGCATCTCAAACACCCTGCTCCCTTCCTCCTGTCTGATAACATTTGCATCCATAAAATCCTTTGTTTCAGCCATTAAAGCCCTTTGTTCCAAGAGGAGCAGAGGTGGGGAAGCAAGACCCCTCTCCTTAACCCCCCCACCCCCCCACCCCCACTCCCAACTGGACTGCGCGCTCAGCCCTCTGCCTCTCTGCCCCCCAACCGCTGAGCTGCCCGCCTGGTCTGGCCAGGTGTACTCTCTCCGCTCAACCACGTAACCTCGCTCCTTTCCCCACCCCTCAAGTCCGAGTGACTGGGCACCCTCTCAGTCTCAGGCTCTGTCTGGAGAGGTGCCCATCCGTCCTTACGGATGTCCCTTCCCTAATAGACCTTGCTATTTTACCTCCCACTACGCTCTGTCTCACGCCTGAATTCTTTCTTGCGCGAAGACAAGAACCCTGCAATTTCTCCGGTAACAGAATGAGCAGACAACTCCACTTCCTGATCCGAAATCCCTAATGGGGTTGATGGCCTGGTGGTTCCCAGGGCGAAGCAGACCCTCCGGGTGGGCGGGGTTCTTTCCCCACGTCCTCAACCTCTTGTTCCCGGAAGCAATGTTTCTTTGAGTTCCAGGAGTAGCAAACTTTGCTCCCCGACGCCACACCTTGTTGCAAGACTGACTGGGCGCAAAGATCTTCCCAGGTAGTGATTTCTGACCGAGCCACGAGGCTGGCGACCGGCCGGGCTGACAGGGTCGCCCATGCTGGAGAGGAGCGGCGGGGGTCACGGTCCCTCTGCAGGAACTGAGGCTGGCAGGGTCTTGGCCGTGACTCCGGGCTTCCCGGCTGCAGGGCGCTCACAGGGAGACGGACGCTGCTCCTGAGACGCTGGGATGCCAGCTGCTCTTCCCTGCCCAGAGTCGTCCTCAACGACCCCAGAGCTTCCAAAGTCCAGCCCAGGTCTCCGGGGCGTCAGAGGATTGAAGTCAAGGGAGTGGAAGGTTCCAGAGCTCCGGGCTGAGGTGCCCCAGCACGCAGGACCAGCACGCGGCCCTGTCTGGTCAGTTCTCCACCGTTCTAGTCCCTTCTGGTGCGGGCCTGCCTCAGTGGGCCACGAGGAGGGCTGTGGTGACTCCCAGGCCCCGGCTGGTCTCAGGGCTGTGTGGATCTTTCCCTACAGCACGGAGACCCCCGCAGGCCCCTCATTCGTTCCTGGGACCGAGCCCCAGGCTGGGACCCTGGGGTTCTGCACCGGCTTCAAGCATCTGCGTGAACTGGACTTCTCCCAAAGGCCTTTGCGACAGCCCCAGCCCTGCACCGCCACCTGCTCTGTGCTTGGCAGCTTCAAGCAGCCGGGCCGCAGTGACGGTGCCCCGCCCCTCTCGCCAAGGGCACACAGGTGGGGCTGGCCGCGTTGGGGAAGGTGGTCCGGCGGCGCTGGCTGCCCACTGCTGAGGCCGGCAAATCTGCGGGCTCTGGGACTTGGCCTTGATGGTGAAGTTCTGACAGGGACCGGAAGGTGAACGCTGCCCGGTGGTGCAGCCGAGCCCTTGGCCCACCCGACCCCTGCCCGTCGGTGCAGCGCCTCTCTCCCACAGCCACCCCCCCAACAGCCACTCCCCATCAGTCAACGCAGAAAGGACCTGCTCAGCTGCAAGAGAAAGTGAGAAAGGGACCTGTCCATCATGCCTTCCTCTGACAGGGAGTGACAGGCCACCTGGAGGGCGTGGTCTCCAACAGCAGGGAGGAGCAGGAGCAGCACGCACAGGCCTT